GGAGAGAGAGAGAGAGAGAGAGAGAGAGAGAGAGAGAGAGAGGAGACCGAAGTGGGTCCCAATGATGCTATTCCACTCGTCCCTGAATCCAATTCCCGTGATTCCTGGACTGCCTGAGGCCGCCGAGGAAAACAAATGCCCCTCCTACATGCTCCATTCGAAGATCATTCCAGCACCCATACGCGCATTGTCACCCTACATTGCATCTCGCCCACGGCCAATGATCTGTCCTCGATGAGCTCAAGTTTACCCGCCAACCGAATGACAAGTGGCAGTTGGACGCTAATTCATGTACATCAGACCATGCAGTTATCAATAATGCAGTTGCGAGGATCCTAACCACCATCGCTAAACTGACCATTACGGCCCCTCATTCCCTGAGTCTGTCCCGTCTCTCGCATTTGAGTACGCCAAAGGTGTAACTCGCTCTCTCTTTGCATATGACCTTCCATGACCATTGGTCTGCAGGTAAGATATCATGGCCAAACAGTGCCAGCAGGTCCTCGATTTGGACAGTACGATCCCAATAGCCCTACAATGAGGGACTTCGCACGGAAATTATGTATCGTGCAAGGACAAGACCGTTTGCTTGGATGCACGCTTCGGACTCCCTGGAATATTCGGTTGGTATGCATGCCTGCGGTTACTAAGCAATTAACGGTGTATAGACACGTCGTGCCCTATCTTGTGCGCACGAATGCCTTATTTTTGTATTCTGAACAACGAACTTTTCTAGCAGCACAACGGAAATATGATCCTTGATTGTGAACTACCTGTCCTCATGGTGCGCAAATTGCACGATCGACTTTCTTGCGTAGTAGAACGGTGGCAATGCGTCTCCAAGGATGACTCCTTGTTGGATGATCCTAAGCATAAAAACGCCCCATTCCCACGGCGTGGACATACAGGTGTCAGCGAAACCTTTTAATCGTTTGAATACGCCACTGTATATTATAACCGTACCCCCTGGATTGATGATTGACTTTGCCATCATAGACCCGAGGACAAGGAGTCTGGGGATTCGAGTATCGCAGCATTCCTCGCGTAATCAATTGTAATGCGACCACATTCCAAAGCTTCGAACGGGTTTTCCATAACAGACGCCTTCCCCCTTCCCCAGACGCCTACCCTTTTTTTCTGTGATGCATCTGTGTTTGTATTTTGCCTCCTGCGTTGCTATCGTGGATTGTGTTTGTGTGCACCGACAGGAGGTTTCCTAGCCGCCCGGACGTTCTCCACGAACACTTCCAGGCAGCAGCACGCTGCCTTTGGAGTCATAAAGCAGACAAAGGATCGAACTCTGTATGAATGGGCTCCTGCGTTGGTCATCAACAAAGTCTGTCGGCCACCGTAAGAGGAATCAACAATGTTGGAATTGTCGTCCGTTGTCGCGATAGCAGTAGTCTGTGCGGCTATCTGCATCGTGGGGGGAGTAAGTGGCACTCTGGCATGGCTTAGGGTACGCCAGAAACGGCGCCGGTTCACTGGGAAGAAGCAGTTCCTTGGGATGCAGACCTTCCCGGCAGACACATTGACCAACCTGTCTCGAGAGGAAGGCTCCATGCTGCGGCAGTACGGGCAACTTCCATACGTGCGACCAAACGAGTGGGGGGTGCTGGAATCACACGAAAGCTTAGTTCATTCACAGGACGACTCGGATACCCTATCTCAGCGGACGGAGAAGGGCCGTTCATTGTGCCGTTCCCTGTCGGGCTGCCATCGACAATCGAGACTGCTGAGGCCACACCGGATAAACTCTTTGACACCTTTGACCGAGAGTATTGATGGGCTACCTGTTTCTCGGAGGCCGTCCTCGCCAAGGGATGACGTCTCGATCTCTGCAGTTGATGGGGTTCTTGAATTGCCAACAGAAACTTCACCCAGACATACGCCAGACAGGGAACAGCAGAATTGTGACGCTGATCTAAGTATACGACCCATTTCAGGACCAGGACCATCAATATACCAGAGAGAGCACTTGACTGGCCTCTTCCCTGTCTTGGAGGATAGATACCAATCATTTGACCTGTCTTGCTCGCGGTCACGAACGGCAAGCATTATCGCTCAAAGGCCGGGTGCTGCTCCAGACCAACCAGTGCCACCGCCGCCGTGTGCTTACCCGCCGAACCGGTTTCGGCTCTCCAAGAATGACTCTTTGCGGTTTTCGTCGCTGAGTCTTGAGACCGCTGATAGCTCTATCATGAATGAGAGCAGAAGGACTTCAGCGGGCATGGAGAGTGTATTTACTTCACCAGCTTTGCCCCCCTGTCCCACATTCGCCCCTTACAGTGCCAATGACGTTGGAAGGAGTGCTGCATTCTACTCAAGACTCCCAGCTCCATTTGTCTTCCCAGCGGGCTCAATTCCAGTGGAGGCGCAAAGACTCGAGCCGGATCGTACGTCTCCCCGCCGAAGTTTAACAGCACGCAGCCCACTTCACTCCATGGAACGAATTAGCGCGCCCCCACGGAGAAGTGAGTCCCTCAATGTACGCCCGCCTAGAAGAGAATCTCTTCCGCACACGGAGCAGGAGCGCATCCAATCGTTGAACATGGCGGGTTGCAACCCAGCCCTACTGCCACATTTCAGTCAACTACAACGACACTCTGTGTATGGAAGCCAGCGGCGGGAAAATGACCCATTTTATGGAGGTATCTCTGCTGGCTTCAATCGCTCAAATACTCCTGGGTGGACAAGTGTTTCACCTATCCCAGAGTCGCACTTGCCCTCTTCCAATGGTTATCTCAAACCCCCGTTAGCCTCCGCTATGAGAAGCGGCAGCCGTCCCCGAAAAGGCCATCGACGACAGAACTGTGTCCGGATATCGATCCAGACACCTATTGCCTTTGGAGGGGCTACGTTTGCTCCAATGGTGGAGGAGCCGGAAGAGCTAGACGAGTTTGACATGCACGCATCACACGTGTCCGATCTATCGGCTTCCAATATTTCGTCCCTGCGCTCAAGTGTTTCCGGTTTCTCGATGAGCCGGACCGGTTCTGACCAACAAGGAGACGTAACACGCATCACAGAGATCTCCGACAGCCGCCCACCCTCGTACCGAAACTCATCCTACTTGGCATCGTCTAAGAAGCGGAAGCATAGTCGAGATGATTCGATCGATAGTGTACTGAGTACGCTGAACACTAGCATGGACAAAACCCTTCCCGAGATTATCACTACACTGCCCCCTAGTTTCGGAGATAGCTTGATCGATACCCCTTCACCTGACAAGCCTATTCCAGTTTGGATGGCTCCTAAGTACAGCGGCTCGCCAACGGCGTACGAAAATGCCCCGAGTCCAGGCAGTCCTCGCCGGTCCGCCGTCAAAGGACCACGCAGCCAGCCAGCCAGACCACGCCGCAATAGCGTCAGATCACATCTACTAGAAAATGGTGCCAACGCTACAAGCCCACCGATCCGCCCTCGCAGTCAGAGCCTGAAGCATGGATCAAACCGCAAGTCAACTGACTCTGTGCAGCGCGCCAAAAGCATCACCACAAGCTCACCGCGGCCCTACAGCCAACATATGAATGATCAGGAAAAGCCGACCATGGACAGTTCGTTCCCTACACAACAGCAAAATTACACGCAGCCGCCAGAGCGTCCCTCTTCCCGCAGTTCCAGCAGGGCTGGGAACCGCATCGTCCCCATATGGGAGGATCACGATCGCACCCCGAGCCGTCGTCCCACCAAAAAGTCTACAATATCCATCATCTCTGAAGAGTCCGGGCCTGCCGAACTGCACGGTGAGTCGTCACCGCGGAAGCCAGAACGTCTGAAGAGTGCACGACCGGAATTCTCGACACCCGTTAAGAGGGCGGTGGGATTGGGCATTGGCGCTGCGACGCCAGGCAGTCTCTATGATGGGGACGGGTTTTTGAAAGAATAATTGTATGGCGGGCTCAGGTAGCTGCTACTACGTGTTGTATTCTATGCTGTCCAGCTGTTCAGGCAGGATGGGTGCTTTGTTTCTTTGGTCTTTGATGTGCGGGCGAACGATTGATATCCACTGTATTGTTAGATAGGCATAGTTAGCAGAACCAAATACCAATAATATAGTATGTAATTATATTTTACGCTTTTCCAGGACATCCCAGTCGATTTGCCCGGCCTTAGGCTGATAAAGAAGAAAGCGGATGTAATCCCCTCACCCGCCCATCCAAAGAGCACTGATCCTCAATCCCAAATCTGAACTAAACCAGTCATTGATTACGCCACATCTATACATACCCCCCGAAACTCTCTCATTTAATCCGTTCTCCTCCACTTTGTCTCCTCATCCTCCTGCATCTCCTCATCCCCATCCCCATCCTGCCCCTCACGAGCCCTCACAGTCCCCGCCCCAGGACCAAGAGACAAAGTCGGCTCCTCCCCACCCCCAATCCAATTCCCTTCCTCATCAAAGAACTCATGCATATTGTCTGCCGTAATCCACCCCGAACTCCCATCCATCGGCGGCGGCAACCCCCCATCCCCACTGCCCATCTCCACAAGCCCGGACGACAACAGCCCCGAACCACGACCTTCCTCATCCTCATCGTCGCTCATGGGATCCGGGTGCAGATTCGAACACGCCGAGACGGCATTATACAGCGCCTGCGTGGGCGTCTCGTCCGGCTTGTTATCCTCCTCGGATTGCTGCTGCTCCTGGGACTCCGGGGGCGGGACAACGGTCAAGGTGATACATCTTCGAAGTCATCTTCTTGGGCACCGGGTTGTTCAGGGAGCGCGATTTGCATGTACAAGCCTTGCACCTCTGAGTCGGTATCTGGGAGCGTGAGGCGCTGGACTGCGTGCAGGGAGATGCTGGGGTAGGGAATTGAGAGGCCTTTTTGGTGGGTTGGGTTGAAGAGGAGGAATTTGCTAAGTTTCCCCATATCCCATTAGTATCATAAATTGCAGGCAGTTTGTAGTTTCAGGGTAGAGAGAGAGAGAGAGAGAGAGAGAGAGAGAGAGAGAGTCTTACTCGGATGTCACCCAGACGTCTAGGCCATCGATGACGATCTCTTTGCCTTCGGCATCAGAGCCGTTTTGGGCCTCTGTTCCATTTGCGGTGGTTGTCGCGTCTGCGCTGCGGAGGGAGTTTAGGACTGGGTTGGCTTGCAGCTCGTGTTCTAGGATGGATAGCTTGCAGTGCTTGCTGTGGTAGTGGAGGACTGCGGGGCCGGAGTGGAAGGAGGATGGGGTACGCGACTGGTGGTCGGCGAGGAGGACGAAGGAGGAGGTTTCTGGTGGTGTTCGGAGAGGTTCCATCTTGGCTTTTTGGGTTGTTTGGAGAGGGTTGTTGAAGGGTGGGTTGCGGGTTGTTTGGTGGAGGGAGGTTTAGTTGGCGGTGGCTTAATATTTCTGCCGGGAGCTTTGGCGGAGGTGAGCTTTGCGGCGGAGGGGCTGCCGTTGCTAGGTGGGGGAGTTCGCCTTTACGTGGACATAATTGTTTATAAGTAAAAAAATGCCACAGAGAATTAGCTTATAGGAAAATTGAAGGATGCATTTTATAGCAATAAATAGTAGAATACATTTTGTTCATTGCCTGTGAACATAACGACCCGCAGGCGATACGTAGTAGACATCTTGAAGATAAGATCAAGACTGGGCCCGATTGTAAAGAACATTACATTTCCCCACATAAGATCATGGTTCTAACCCTATAGTATGCTCCCTGCATACGAGCCGACTCTACGCGATAGTGCGGTATAGCGAGCTTCGTCTGTGTTGAGGTTGCAAAATTCTGACATGACAAAGCTCTGCAATCTGCATAAGGGGTGCAGCTAAACCTGCAAAGTCTACCGCAAGCTCGATTGGAGTGGTCCAATCGGTGACTTTTCCCGATGGTTCACACCACAGCAGAGGAAGCTAAATGACGCTGCCACGTCAAGGGTGGCGATCGTACCTGACACTCAATTGATCGAGATCACTCATTTTACGTTCAGCCCACCGAACACTCTGTCCAGCTCCTCACCCTCGTCGCGCGGCTTCATCGATGGTAACTTCGACGCATCTGGATCCGTAGATAAGCTGTCCAGCAGGCTGTGCTCTGGTTGCCCTGGGGGTCTTGAGCTCGCCATAGATCTACTCGGCTGTAGAAGCTTCTCTTCCCGGTCCAACCACCCGGGCGCAACCCGTCTCTTCTCCGCGAGATCGCGCTGTACAATGGATCCCTCCCAGTTTTGTATGGCCTGCTCCGCATCCGTGCGGTTCTTGTTGAGAAGTTCTTCAAGAGATTTGCACGAGGCTAGGATTTCTTCGGGGGATGCCGCGTGCTCACCGCTCGCGGAGACGACATAGCGGGGTTTAGTCTCGGGATTGCTGGGGTCGACTGTTACGGATGCCGGAAGTGTGGAAGGAAGTGATTTGTAGGTGTAGGGAAGGGTGACTGAGGAAGGGAGGTTGATGAAAGGAGAAACAGTCAAGGGGACTTGTGCCAGGAGTGGATGTGGGCCTGGACAAATGGACAGATAGATGGTCAGTATAGGCTGCGAGAAGGGAATCAGAGTGGACTTACGGTAGGATTCATACATAATTGGCAGGTAAGAGAAATTAATTCGGTAGAATTATTCGAAGGAAGATAGTAGATGGCGATCTGAGGGTGAAAACGGGGTTGTTGTTGTTGCTGTTGTTCAAGATAATCAGAGGTTTATACTCCGGATTCATTGAGGGGAAAACCCCCGTGACGCCATCGGTACCTTTTAGTACGGCAAATACGGAATACCGTATTAATGAATTACCTATCATAATTTATGCCATCCGTGGATCTCCAGATTTTAGATTGACTTCAATGTGATTTGGCTGATCTCGATCCCCACCCTCAATTTCCCACCAGGGTTAGTTTAGTTTGGTATCTTGCCCCGGTTGCCTTGTGTTGCTTCCCTACTGTTGGCGCTAAAAAATGTTGTATTGATCTGGTGATACTTTTATTTGAAGCTCTGGTTTCGAACCTGAAAGATGTAACTACTAATGCTAAACGGGTAAGTACCTGAGTAAGGCTGGAGCTGGAGCCTAGCTATTATTGTATTCATGTATTGTTACGATTCCTAATTTAACCTAACCACGACCACGTTTCAGTTCCGGCAATCACCAATAACTCTATCACAGAATGGCTCAAGGTTTTGACGCCAATTAGCATCAAAGCAACGACACGCAGGTGGAATGACATAAGGATGGATGGCTGGTGGGAAGATGTCGTTTATACAACAGACCCCTCCTGATCGCCGACGACCGACGTGGCCGCGCATATATGAAGATTCAGCCTACGCCAATCTAGACACTGTCTTCAAATGATCTCTTAATGGCGATATGAAGCTGGCCAGATGACGACAAACTTAATTCAAGCGAGCAGGGTATAAAGAAAGCAACACAGCCCTGTGTGGTTGAACTACTCTCTTGTGATGCTTACAGAGCCATTCCTCTTCTACTGTGCTATTTGTTTCAAGGCATACTTTGTCCTTTTCAACAACGCAAACCAATCATAGATTATCTCTTTATCTGAATTGAAACGATGCTCTTTTCTACCTCCTCCAACAACGTTCGGGTCGAGAGATCCACCTTGGTCTGTAACACGCAAAGAACACGGCAGGTGATGAACAAGAAACCAGTCCGGACCTCAACCAATACATTGGAAATTCGGACGGCTCGATATATCTATATTGAAATTTCTATGACATAGCCGAGGGACCTTCCTACCAATGAAGGAAAAAAATTATTGTTTAAGCTGGTTCATGTGGGATGACCACAGCTTCGCGGATTCGGCAAGAAATGCTATGCTGGTTCATAGGGGTGAGGGATTTTGGCTTGAAGCCAATCTTGAGAAGAGAGATGGGTCAGAGAAAGACAAGGTATTTGTCTAGAGCATCGGATCCAAAGTATTGATGGTGTTCTAGTTTTCAATTGATGATGTTCAACGCTACCCAACTGTTCCACTTTGTTGTCATCAAAACCTCTCTTGTATAGAATGGACCCCCATTACTCTGTATGTGTGGCTGTGATCTACCGAAGTGAATCCAATGTGTCACCCGAATCATCGACAAGTAGACAGTAGACCAATAAGGTAGGCGTAGTAATATAGTAGTAATATAATTGTGGGATAGTTTCGGAGAATTATTGATGGACAACTAAACTTCTATAACCGTTACCTTTTTAGTTTATAGTAGAATTTCTAGTCCTCCAGGTATCTAGTAGATCTAGACTCTTCTGTGGTATACGCTAGTATTTCAAAATGTCTGATATGGATTATATTATGACCTAGAACTGGATGTCAATTTATGCGCTATCTATATTAAGTTTAGCATGTTATATCATTGGAGTTTCAAAGTGCATCTCTACTAGTACTAGTAACCCGACACCATCGGTTACCACTGCTCCGTACGTACTGACTGTACCTTTCACTACCTTTCAGCCCCTGCCCAGCATCTCAGAGTCCTTAGATTCGGCCTCGACTGCTTCCTTGTTTCTTGTTCTTAATTATTCTAACCCTGACCCACGTCTACTTTTTTAAACCCCCTTTACTCACTCCACTTAGCTAGGTGTCCTTTCATTGGTTTCTTTCTTTTTTAACCTGCTGGATTAAAGGAACCCTTCTTATTTGCAAAACTTTTTTTCTTCCCCTACTAAACGTGCCACACTCCCAACCTTAGGGTCAACCATATCTCAGCCTCAACTCGGGCGTTCGTCTCGCGTGTGAGATCCCGCCGCGCTCTAACCCCACCAAACATCGGTTCTCCGCGCTGTCAAGTTTCCCCCTCCCATCCCCCCTTTTCTTCGCTCCCCGGCCTATCTACTGGGGCCTTGGATTCTTGCGATTTTCAAGATCCTAGTTGTGAGCCTTCGAGTGAACTTGGTTCAAGATGGACCGCACAATAGCGCGAGCGGTGACGGAAAAGAAGCCAGTCCCGGAGATTGACTTCACATTACATACCATGGAAGATGGCAACCAGGTGTCCACCATGGAACGGGTTGTTAAAGGTAGGATAAGCAGCATCCCTTATTTTTATTTTCTATAATTTTAATCCTGACGATTTTGCGATCCTACAGAGGTACAAGCGCCGGCGTTACAGACGCCGACGGACGAACAGTTCTGGTCCCCTGAGGACCCCTCCAAGCCAAACCTCCAGTTTTTGAAACAGCACTTTTATCGTGAAGGTCGTCTTACCGAAGACCAGGCGCTATGGATTATACAAGCGGGTACGCAGTTGTTGAAGGCAGAGCCGAATTTGCTCGAGATGGATGCCCCCATCACAGTGTGTGGTGACGTTCACGGACAATATTACGATTTGATGAAGCTTTTCGAAGTGGGCGGCGACCCCTCTGAGACGAGATATTTATTCCTAGGCGACTATGTTGACAGAGGTTATTTTAGCATTGAAGTGAGTTCCCTCGGCTGTCTCGCCGTGGCTGAGTTGTCTAGCGCAAATGGTCTGACCTCGTGCAGTGTGTCCTCTACCTCTGGGCCCTGAAGATCTGGTACCCGAATACGCTCTGGCTACTGCGAGGAAACCACGAGTGCAGGCATTTGACAGATTACTTCACCTTCAAACTGGAGTGTAAGCACAAATACAGCGAGCGTATCTATGAAGCTTGCATTGAATCCTTTTGCTCCTTGCCGCTGGCGGCGGTCATGAACAAGCAGTTCCTGTGTATCCACGGTGGCCTAAGTCCCGAATTGCACACACTGGAGGATATCAAGTCGGTATGTGAAGCAAATTCTGTGATAGTAATAATGCTAGGTACTGACAATGCCCGTAGATTGATCGCTTCAGGGAGCCCCCAACCCATGGCTTGATGTGCGACATTCTTTGGGCTGATCCTCTGGAAGAGTTTGGACAGGAGAAGACTGGAGACTATTTCGTCCACAACAGTGTTCGAGGATGCTCCTACTTTTTCTCGTACCCTGCCGCCTGCGCTTTCCTGGAAAAGAACAACCTGCTCTCCATTATCCGTGCACACGAGGCTCAGGATGCCGGATACCGCATGTATCGGAAAACAAGAACCACCGGTTTCCCTAGCGTGATGACCATTTTCAGTGCACCCAACTATCTGGATGTGTACAACAACAAAGCTGCCGTCCTGAAGTACGAGAACAACGTGATGAATATCCGTCAATTCAACTGTACACCTCACCCATACTGGCTGCCAAACTTCATGGATGTGTTCACTTGGTCTCTTCCCTTCGTCGGTGAGAAGATTACCGATATGCTGATTGCTATCCTTAACACCTGCTCCAAGGAGGAGTTAGAAGATGATACCCCTACGACCGTTTCGCCTACGGGCCCGCCCTCGCCCCCTGTTCCTATGGATGTTGAATCCAGCGAATTCAAGCGACGTGCAATTAAGAACAAGATTCTTGCCATTGGTCGTCTTTCACGAGTCTTCCAAGTGTTGCGTGAGGAGTCCGAAAGGGTTACGGAGCTTAAGACAGCAACTGGTGGTCGCCTTCCCGCGGGTACTTTGATGCTTGGGGCGGAGGGAATCAAGCAGGCCATCACGAACTTTGAGGATGCCCGTAAGGTTGACCTGCAAAACGAGCGTCTTCCGCCGAGTAGTGAAGAGGTCTATAAGCGGAGTGAGGAGGAAAGGCAGGCTGCCTTGGAGCGTGCTCAACGTGAGGCAGATAACGACGCTGGATTGGCTACCGTGGCTCGGCGGATTAGCATGTAAGTTTGCTTGGTGAAAGAAAGGATTTGGAAGAGCGTACTCTAACCTCTCACAGGTCTGCGGGCTCGGGCAGAAGCCGGCGACAGCGAGATGCCGCTCGAGAGAGTCGAGAAGCATGAGCAAAGGATACTATCATTAAGCATTCCACTTTGATTTTGCGCCTGCTCAACCCGTCTTTCTCTGTGTGCAAATATTGATCCGTACCTGTATAAAGCGCCTCTGAGTCTGACGATATAACGAGGAGCCCTTCCTCTGGCGAATGGCCCAGCTACATAATCTTATGTCCTGTCTGTCACAAGGAGACAGATTGTTATTGCACTGAGTATTGGAACTGCGACAGAGACTATTGTTGTAGTTATCGAGGCGTCCGTGACGTCTTGGCTCCATGAGTTGATGAATCGATACACCATGACACACCCCTATCTTGTTTATTACTGTGTGGTATTTGGAGGTAGTCTTTTTCTTTTGGTCTAGTCACGAAAATCTTCCATATGGAGCATTATAGTGTAGCAAGGATTGTTTCGTTGTAATGCTAGGAATCGGTAGTCACGGGCCTCCGCGGCCGCCAAGACACAACACCAACTTCAATTATCCGCCCTTCCAAATCCATATATCACTGATACCCTCTACCTTTTCCGCTAGATACCCTCTCCCCACCCATCAATGCCTCTTAAACTGCGCGGCTCGCTCTCTAAGAGCTGGCCGCGTGCTGGGGACAAAACTGCAGCCTATTACTGCCCATCCTGCGCAACACGGAGACGGACCCTGTCCACGCGTCGGAACGGCATCGTTTCTTCCCGGCTAGAAGCTAACCATCTCTCTTTTCCCTCCTCTCGTCCTATCACTACATCGTCTGTGATCCACGCCCGACATGTGCCACCGCGGTTGAGAGAGCTGTATGAGGCCCTGAATAAGATCCAGGGTGTGGCTACGGAGCAGGTGAATGTCAGCCGGTTGCAGCTAGCTTTGCGCGGATTGGAGAGTGAAACACCCATAATCCGTGTTGCTGGTGGGTTTCTTCCTCACAACAGTACTCTGGGATATATTTGTTTACATTTCAATAGTTCTCGGTCTTAATGATGCGATTGCCGCGCGCAAGCTTGTTCGCTTGTTACTCGCCGATCCATTAAATACAAGAGAGAGTTGGGAGGATGCATTGGATGCCTACGATTCTGATTCTACACAGGGCTTGCTAATTCGGTATGCTTAGATTGCATCAAAAGGGGTATGAATAGGAGATTTTACTCACGCTCGGCAGATACGGCGAAGTATCAGAGTCCATTCCGAACAACCTTCTCCCTACTATATCTGTGCCCTCCCCCATCCTTAAGAAAGGCAATCTCGAAATCCTAGTGTCTACCTTGGGTGCTGAGACAGAGTTATCAGATGCGCATTTCACGGCAGATACATTCCTTGTCCCTACAGTGACGATCCCGACTTCACATTCCGGCCGCCATAATGCCGTACGATACCCAGTCCACAGAACGGTTGTTTGCGGCCGCGGGGTGGACGGATTGGTGGCGTACAATGGTTTGGTCTCTCGCGCAGACCTGAAGAAAGAGACAAGCTCAGTTTATGGGGCTATCGATTTGGCAGTTACCGCCCCACAGAAAAGTAATGACCGAATCGCGTTCGTGGACATCGACCGAGCGGACGAAGCCCTCGAGAAGTTCCGCGAATCCGTGCAGAATGCCTCTCTTTATGAGCGTGGTTGGAATGGAAGTGGCGTACAGACTGTTCAAGATTGGCTGTCGTCGTTGCGGGCGGAGGGGGCTCTCGACCCCTCCCTCAAGTCTCTAATCACATCCCTGATTGACGCCGCAGAGACTGGAGTTGCTGCCGATGAGAACAGGTTATTACAGGATCAAAAAGCAGTCACACTTTCAGACGAGGTCCGGGAGAACCTAGACCGTTCGGTGTCTGAATGGGCCGAGAGGGGACATACAGAACTGCGTGGCTCACTCGAGGAAGGGTTTGCGACGAAGAAATGGAAGGGCCTTGCCTGGTGGAAGCTCTTCTGGCATGTGGACGACGTAGGCATGATCACGTCAGAGATTCTGGAAAAGAACTATCTGCCGCGTGCAGAGAAAGAAGTGATCTGGACTGCGGGAAGATTCAACCAGGCCGGCCTTGGGATGCAGTTCAAGGCCGCCTCTCAACGAGCGGAACAACCTTCTGACGACAGCGATAAACCTGAATCCGATGAACTGTGGCCGACTCAGATAACCACGAGTCGCAACCGGCTACTAGACACGACGGTACCCTCCCTGCAGGCAATGGCGCAGAGGCTAGTTCTTTTCAGCATGTCAACCACTACCTTGACATCCGCTCTGTCGGCACTGACATATGTCTCCGTCCCGACAGCGTCGGTGTACGAGACCGGCACAATCGTCGCAGTTGGGTTAATCTACGCCCTACGACGGCAACAAAAGCAGTGGGAATCTGCCCGCACTTTCTTTGAAGACGAAGTCCGGGAGGAGGGCCGGGCAGCATTGATTAAGACGGAGGAGCACCTGCACACCGTCGTGCAAGAAGGTGGACCATGGAACGAGGACGTCGGCGAAACTGAGGCCAGGAAGACAATCGATCGGGCAAGAAAAGCCCTGGAGCAGGTGGACTAGTTTCATCGCATAGACCCGTGTAGATCATGCAATGTACCATACTTACCATCGCCTCATATTGCCTCCAGCAATCCATGTTCCAGTAGACCGCCAAAGCGCCACAAATCGTCTTACCCACTCTACACCCATCATCACTACACACCATGCATAAGATTCACTCTACCAACTTCCCAAAACAACCCTAAGAAATCTCCACACTCCCCTCAGGAACCCCCTGCCAACTTCTCAACCTGCGCGCCAAAAACCTCATAACAGGCAGCATCTCCTCCCTAGACTTGGGCATCCCGTCTCCCCTCCTAGCATACCTTGTGAGCTCCACAAAATCGAAAACCCCCTTCGTCCTTCTAACAGCCCCATCACTCACAACCTCCGAATCCCGTCCAGCAACGAGCAACACCGGCGTCCGATTCTTCTCACCGACCACACCCCCAGAGATCGGATACGGCGCTCCAATAGAGATAACCCCCGACAACGCCATATCCCCCCCAATCCCACCACCATCATTTGCACCAGAATCACCCACATCCTGAACCTTCGGCTGTATCCCCAATTCTCTTGCACAAACCAGCCCCACCATACCTCCCTGCCCAAACCCAAGAATCATAATCTCCCGCAACTTATACCCACATTTCTGAACGAGGACACCACGAATAACCTCGTCGACTATCGTGCGCGTTGCGCGCGCAAACCCGGCGTCCATGTCCAGCGCTCCCGTGTTGGAGTCAAAGGAGATGTCGTCGCCCCAGTGGAATCCGGGGAGGTCGAATGGGAGACGTGTTGGTGCTTGGAGGGTGACGACGGTTGTTTCGGGGAGGTTGAGGGCGCGGCCGAAGGTACTGAATGTGGCGCTGGTGTCGCCGATGCCGTGCAGGAGGAGGAGGATGTTAGGCGGGGGGCGTGTGGTTGTGGTGGTGGTGTTTGGGGAGGTAATTGAGACGGTTAGATGCGGCGGGAAGTTGGACTGGGTGGGCGTTTTTGTGGGCATTCTTGCGTTTTTGGCGCTCTTGCTTTCTTTTTAATATGTGGGTGGTGGTTGTGATTTGATGATGTGCGTTTCGTTGGGCTTTAGCAGAGGCGTAGGGAGTTGCAGTAGTGTTGTGGGTTGGTATTAGGTGAGTAGGAACGATTGTAAGAGAAATAGTGGTTTCGCGGATTTCCAATGGCGTTATGGACGTGATGGTGGTGAACACCAGATGATATTTAATAAAAGATGACGATAGATCTTGATATCGATGTGGATATCGCTGCATAGTGTAGTGTTTATTACATAAGCTATGTCCGTGCATAAATCACACCATTGTAAACCCTAAGTATACCGGTTCATCTACATTGCTCTCCATCAGTGCACATCTTTGAGCTACTACCATATCAAGAAATGCTCTTCATATGCAGCTGACAGATAAACCGAGTCTTCCTTAATTACAGTTTCCCCGCCATTGTTAACTCTGGTTTCGGCATTGGAGCCCCCGAAAGCAAAGCAATGAACGTTATACTTCCCAGCACATGCCCATCCGTAAACGGGCCACTATTCCAAACCATTTGAGTTTAAATGAGCTAGTTTATTCATGACTCATTCTGCCTGTAATAGTGATGGTATGGTACTGTCAAGTAAGATGGCCGCCAACGTCTTAATGACAACCGAATGAAGCAATCGACTAGTAAGCAACCACGCCCATAGTTAATTCATTCTCTCTTGAAATGGATCTCCTCATTAACCTTCTGTACTTAATCCTTTTAAAAGCTCCTAGAGGTCTGGCCAGGAACGAAAGGCTCAAAGACTATTCTTTATCATTATGGCTCCATCATCATCCACGCCGAACAATATAGATCCTGGGGATGCTGCCGCCGTCCCAAGTCCAACCATCGCAAGTCTCCAAGACTCCTCAGCCTTTCCAAACCTCTGGTATCGAATACACGTTTTAATCGCCGATCTCAAGAGCTTTGACAAACCCACGTCCAATAAACGGCTCGAGAAGATCATTGACCCATCCTTCATCGGCGAACCCTACTTCACTCCGAAAGAAGCAGAGACAATCAAAAAGACCATTATCAACGGCAAGGAGTTCTCACAGGTTGTTGAAGAGGAACTGAATAAGCGTCTCGATCGACGTAACAAGAAACGTTTCGAAAGCGGCGACTTCCGCGTTTGTGCCGCCCACGATCTTGCTCCTATAATGGCACAGGCACTGGGTATCGACTTGAAGCGGCTGGAAAAGGACAAGCAATTTGCAAATCTGGTCGAGGAAAAAGGACTTCACTTGGAAGGAGAAAACTGGGGTGGGTTAAAGAAGAAGTCATTTGCCCCTAAAACCAGAAAACGCCGGTGATCCATTTCTACGAGTCTTTGGCACTGTCGTGTGTGATCTTCCATTAGTTGCTATAATTACTTAGGATTGGCCTTCTTCTCACGAAGTGCGAAAGATGGACGGTTACTACGAGTAGGGCTTGAAATTGAACTACAATCTTCGAGTCAGGCTATTATGCTGTTCAATAGAAATGGAGCTTGTAAGGTCCTGAGCGACATTGATGCGAGAGAAGACTCACTTATGTTTTTGAATTCTAGTCCTTGTTAACAAAGACGCATTCCTCAAAACCTCAATGGTGAAGGGAATCAACTCTTTCAGTTGAGGAACATCCAGGTATGAATATATGTATTATGAAGACCATTTTATTTTATATTTACTAATGAAAACCGAAGACACGCAAGGGATCCGAGTTACATGGGTATATCATTTAGGAAATTGGATTCACGCCTGCAACACAACGGTTATAAGAAAAGTCTATTGAATTGGAGGCCCTGTTCGAACAATATTTATTAGGTATCCCGAGTAGTTTGACTCTTTCTCTTTTCGGCTTGGCGTAGCTGCTGTTTGCTCCGTAGATGCATGATATACTTACATACCATACTCTACGACTCACTCTTTTCTTTGTCTCAGTCACTTCCTACCCCAATCCTGCCTTTTTTTAGCCGCTCTAGGGACAGGCCCCCAAATGATCCTAGAGTGAGGATCCCTCTCCTAATCTGTTATCGCCAAGCTCTTGTCATTTCTTGACAATGCCTCAGTTCCATATACAATCAAATCATACGGCCGGTTCTTTTCTTTTCGGTTGAAGCTTCATACTGATCTCCGTAAAAAGTAGGGAAGCACAGTTGACCGAATGAATTTATATTGAGCTTCAAATTTGTGTCCCCCACCCTTGCCCTACCCTCTCTTTGGAAAAAGCCCACCGAGTGTACATCTTCAGGCCACCTTTTTGTGAGCCGGAAAATTACTGTCAAGGGAACAAGGTAAGATATCAGACACTTTTGACTATGACTGAATGGATTGGTCATGCCATGCCGCCTGGAATTAACGAAATGGTAGGGATGTATTTGGAGGATGATCACAAACGCCTCGGAGGGTATTCCTCAGTGGTGTCAGACTCTATCAACTGGAAGTGTATATTCTTCTTTTCTTTTCTCCTACACTGGGGAGTTGACTTCTGTCAGAGTTGAACAGTTTACGATCTCCAGGGGCCAAGACGGAATCACTTGGATTCTTCCACCACTGACATTCCGAGTCTGCCTCCCAACCATCTGCGAGGTAAAGGCACGCGCTTATTTATACAATCACAACCCCCCGCTTCCATACACCTTGTTGTCTCATACCAGCAGCCTGGAAAAATAACGAAATGTCAGAAACTCAAGTGGTGAACTTGATCCTGTCCCTGCGCCAAGCAGGGCTGTTTCCTAGCTCCGCACCCCTCATCCCAGAGGACTTTACCCCGACGACAGAGCTTCAGGTGACATTCGGCGAGAAATCAGTTTCTCTGGGAAACCTGTTCAGGGTCAGTGATTGCAAATCAGCACCGAAGATATCTTTTGCCGCCGAGGTATGTAATCATATAGCATCGATGCGGATTGCCCCGCACGGGGCTAAAGGCTAATGTATGTACAAAAGAGAGACCTTGAATCTCCACAGCAATATACCTTGCTCTTGATAGACCCAGATGCACCGACCCCAGATGACCCCAAATTTGCATACTGGCGGCATTGGGTCATTTCCGGACTACAACCTTCGGGGGCGCCTGAAACTGTTCAGACATTAACAGAGTATCTAGGCCCTGGACCTAAAGATGAGTATGAAGCCCAACTTTCAATAATAGCCTGTGCACGTACTTACCAGGTATTGGTACGGTAGCTCACGACCACATCGGTACCTATTTCTGCTGTTCCGCGAGCCACATGGCCTATCACTTTCAAAGGAAGACGTTGGGGGTGAAGAGTTTACGGCTCGGAGGTCGTTTAAAGCTGCCGAGTGGGTGCAGAAGCATGGACTGGAGCTCGTTGCTGTGAACTGGATGCTAGGCGCTGGGGATGGTTGGCACGAGTAAACTGACCTTGTATGTGACATCTTTACCATAGTCTTTTTAGCCTCCTGGATAGACCAAAGTGGTACACCTCATCTACTTTCTTCAGCTACTTAGAAAAAAGCCGTACACAGAGATGTCACATTCGACACGATATGCCAGAGAAATTGATAGATGGCCCAAACTAAGTCGGAATAGCGCCTAAGAAGAAGCAGAGAGCTTGTAGCCGACTATCAAAATACGCACCGTTATGAGAGACGCAAGTTTGTCTATGGGCTCAATAGGGCTCCAACCTTATTCTATATACACACTAGTGACACTACCCCTCGATGATAAGCCCATTGGTCTTAAGAGCAGGAATTGCTCTCTCCATCGTCCACTCAGTACACTTCATCAAAGACCGTCTGGGCTCCCCAGGCTCGTAGAAAATCAACGGATCTTTTGTCTTAAATGGCTCCGTCTTCATTGTCTTCATATTGAATGCTTTCTGCTGGGGTGGTGTTGGTAAACTGCCTAAAACCCGCTGCCAATCGCCGGGATGTTTGCAGGCTTGCGTAACGCCCAGCTTCTGACTTGTATGGAACTCCGGGGAAAGCTCCGGGGCCTCACTAAGAGTTCGAGTATAGTGCATCCCTTCCGATGAGGTGATATCGCCGGTGACTTCGTGAATAGTACCGGTACCGTTCGGCCCTGTCTTGACGAAAAGGGCGGTATGAAACCTTGGTCCAGGGAGATCAGGGTCCTGCATGGCGAGAGTGGACCTGATAAGGAAGACATTGTAGTATTCAGACATTGTCAGTTCTTACGAGGTGCCGGGTATTCGATTAAGAGGTTGATCTTTGGGTTAGAACCCCGGTGTATACTGCTCGACCGATGCTGGTGCCAGTGATAATTTGTTTGCCTGGAAGCACATGTATTTCTTTTCAGTTAGGTTCTATATAGAGAAAATGGCTCAAGATATGCTTAGCTTACAGATCCCCCACAGATCCCCCACATCCCAATTCCCCGCCCCGCTTCCCGTGCCCGCTCCAAGCCCTACCATGGTCAATCATCCTCTTGACTGATAAACAGTAAGAATGATTTTGGATATATACTTCAACTTCAGCAAGTCGAAATTTGCCCTCCACGAATCAACTGGGCATGGGTTCGACCGGCTTCCACAGTAAATCCAGGTATTGAAGTGTTGTACTATTTGCGTGATGTCACAGTTGGGCAGAGCTGTTTGTTTAAGCATGAACCTAGCAAGTTCTACATAGAGGGCGATGAAAAGGCAATCCCCGAAGGTTTCCTCTAGGAATAGCATTAGCCGTTTAAGATTAACAAAGAGAAAACAAAACAGCAGAGGTGGGGAGACCTGGACCCCGACGGAACAGCCATTCCTATTTATTATGAGTCAGAAGGACTTTAAATCTCTCTCCATAGTCTCTTTTTCACCATGCAAAACTTTCCGTATCTTCAGTGTCATAACTACAACATAGGACACACAGACATCGCAGGCAGACATAATGAGTCTGCGACCGCCCGCTACAATTCGCCGTCCTTCCAGCAGCATGGATGGCGTTTCCCACGAGTTGTCACGGGCCAACAGCGACATTCGACGACCAGATTCCCCCGACCAAGGTTTTCAAAACAATAATTGGGACAAAAAGGAAGGCTGGCCTGTTGTTGCAGCTGGATCAGCCATATTCTTTGTGTATCTGGGCTTAATATATTCCTATGGCATTGTGCAACTTCATCTTGCTGATGCGCGTCTCGCTAGCGCCTCGACCTTGTCGTTCATCGGATCCTTGGGTGCAGCAATGTCTCCTCTCATGGGCATTGTAGTAGCTCAGATTATCAAGCGCATTGGCTATAGAGCCACTGCTTTTGTAGGAAGCATATTTCTGGGTCTTGGAGAGTTCACTGCGGGCTGGTCAACGCAATCAGTTCCTGCCATGTTTGCCACACAGGGGTTTCTCTTTGGTATTGGAGCTGCCCTGCTCTTCTTGGTAATAAAAGACTCACCATAATACATGATATCGTCAGGCTCTAATGCAAATTCTACAGCCAGCGGCAACAGTGCCGTCCCTATGGTTCAAAAAGAAACGAGGACTAGCAACTGGTCTTGTCTATGGTGGCGCGGGGTTAGGTTCTGCTGTGATTGCAATTTCGCTAGAAGAGCTGATCAGCGTCACCGGTCTGGAAGGAGCTTTAAAGATACTTGGAGGCCTAGCATGGATTATTTGCATCCCAGCATCATACTTCCTCAAAGCGCCGGCAGGAAGCGCGCGTGCCGTGTCGAGCATACAATGGTAGTAGGCCCCTCTACCGGTGACAGCTGCCTCTTCGCTGACATTAAAACACAGGAGTCTCCTCCGTAGTCTTAAATTCATTCTCATGTTATTAATGGGCGCCATCGCAACCTTCCCTCTTTTTGTCCCTCCGTTCCTACTTCCACTTTATATCTCCTCAATCGGTTTCTCGAGCCGTGCGGCTGCAGCTATACTCGCGGCTTGGAACTTTGCCTCTGCTCTCGGCCGTATCGGAATGGGATTTGGGGCAGATATATTCCTCGGTCCGGTCAACAGTATGATCCTATCGCTCACTGTTATCGGCGTTAGTGCAATGGCACTCTGGCCGTTCGCATCCTCCCTCGGACTTCTCATTTTCTTCGCGATCATCAATGGAATGGGCTCCGGTGGTTTCTTCAGCCTCATGCCTGTCGTAGTAGGCGCAGTGTTTGGAGATGGACAGCTCGCGAATATCATGTCTATGTTGACGACATCCTGGACCTTTGGATATTTTCTAGTAAGATCCCATCTATCTCTTATACATCGTCCGTTATTGAGTAAACGCTAATGTTATACCAGGGGGCTCCTATCGCTGGATATCTGCTTGACGCTTACGGCGGCACAGACGCCGGCCTTGCAGCGTTTCGACCTGCAATATTTTATGCTGGATCACTGACACTGGCGAGCGCGGGGTTGCTTTTGTTTGTTCGGCTGATGTTGAACAAGAAGATATTTGCGAGGGTATAGGGCTTTTTTAACAGTCGTGCTGTATGTAGGACGATTGTCAACCGTGCATATCAGGTTGATAACGACAAGACCCTATGGTGTTGTGTCAGTTGCCTCAGAAGGGTTAACATGGGACATGGTATAATTGTGCAGCTCCAGAGGTGTGAGACTTACTAGCGATCTGTGATATACTAGATATCGTGACACCTTGAGAAACGCATGGCCCTCAGCTCATGGACACAACAAACTTCCTGAAAGTTGTATGACATATTTTACATCCAAGTTGTACTGCTTTCTGTGCTTAATAAACAAGGACAAGTTGCAGAACAACACGTTCAGCTGGATACTAAATGTGGGCTCTTGTGGGTATACTTGATTGGCATTCTGTTTGCTACAGCTATCCTGTTCGTTGGTTTATCTGAAATGAACTAGCTGCTGCGCTGTTATTCACATTTACTTAGCGCTACCATCTTGAGCTCTTGCAATTAGCTGAACTTTGAATCCAGAATGTTGTACACAATTGATGTTCACTGTCAGAGTTCTCAAGAGATTTTTATCAGATTAAAGTAGATCGGCCTTCATAGGAGGACTAGCCCTAATGCTTTGACTTCACCCAGTATACCTCCTTGTTCTTTACATATACCAAGCTGGACAGCAAACCAGACGCCGTGAGATCATACACCCCCAACGGTGATGGCGCCTCGCAGAAAGACACATACAGCCTATACACTCCCTATTCTCTAGCTTTGTCTAGATACTAGCTCGTAAGGTCGAAGGATCTTCAAAACATACTAGACTCTGAGGGATCGGGTCGCGAATAATATACATCTAGCCACTTTGTAGCCAGTCTCCAGCTCTTATAACTTTAAAGATCTAGCCGATGGCGTGCGGTATTAAATACTTATGTATCGCATGTTCTTCATTGCGTGGCATGCGTGCACCTTTCTTTGCTTACAAATTACGTGTGAAGCCCTGGGGATCCTCGGAATGTCCGCTTTAGGGCAAGCCCACATCGTGCGAGCATCACAGTATATGGTATAATCCATTGCAAGAAGTATTATTCTCTCGAGTATACCCCGCATACGAATTGAAAGTAACAGATGCATGTATCGACAGCGACGCGTCAGCAGGCAATGAAAAAATAGATCATGGAGTAAATACAGCCAGCTCCACTAGCCCCCAATGTACTACTACGTAGTATGCAGATGTTGCATAATGGTTCACACCCATTGATGTCGTAATATCACCACTGATATTTGTCAGCTTAATGAGGCCCGGTACCCACTGCTCCCAGCCTTGCGGCTCAGAGTGAGAACCATACTACAGGACTAGACAGTGCTAAGCATAAGGGACTCCCATGAAAGGGACATATTGATGGTGGCCATGCGGCTAATAGGGATCTTACACGATAAGCATAACCGGAGATTGGTGGTAGACTCTATAAGAAAAGGGTCAATCATAGAATATTTCGGCCATGACTATCATCATCATTTTAAACGCATTCAAAGAGCCCTAACTTGCCCCAACCCCATCGATTAATAATCATTTACAACCCATGTACCCAACGTTCGTCACCAACACCATTATTGGTGGCTTTATTGGTCCTTAGTGGCAGCCCTGGGATAATCATGGCCTGGTATTTAAGTTGAACGCCTACACTAGATTTCACATCTCACTGTGTTGCTGTCGAGGCAAACGGGGAATATGGGAGGCATGAATCCAGTTGAAGAGCAATCAAAGCTAGCATCTGACGATGCAGTGCTTCCCACGGCAGACCACATTGTCTTAGATGTGAAAGAAAATCCGAAAACGTGGCCCACAACTAAGAAGTGTAAGACAACTGAGAGTCCATATGGTGTTTATATTGAGCGACTGATAGGGTAGCTAATGAATCATGGCATGTAGGGATCTGCACTAGCATTGTGGTGATGATGACGGCGACCGTGGCCTGGTGCTCCAGTATCTACACTGCTGCCCTCCCGAATATTATGCAAGACTTGGGATGTTCGCAGATTGTGGCGACCCTTGGAGTGACGACCTTCCTCCTAGGCTTCGGGTTTGGATCTCTATTATTTGCGCCGCTCTCTGAGATCTGGTAGGCCTGGCTTTTTCCCTCCTCCAACACCATAGAGCACCAATCCCGACACCTCCCCAACAGTGCTAATCCGTAACCTTCCCAGGGGCCGGGCTCAAATCTTTCGCTTGACAATGGGTTTGTTTGTAGCCTTTCAGATCGGCTGTGCATTAGCTCCCAACATCACCTCACTTATCGTCTTCCGTTTTTTCGCAGGCTTCTTCGGTTCCCCCACCGTCAGCAACTCGGGGGGCTCCATCACTGACCTCTGGCCGCAGAGCAACCGCTCTGTGCCCATGGCCTGCTTCTCTGCAGCTAGCTTCCTAGGCCCTGTTTTTGCCCCAGTGGTGGGTGGGTTCATATCGGAGTATGCACCCTGGCGCTGGAACTTCTGGGTAGTGCTTATCCTCAGCGGCGTAGTCTACGTTGCTGTCTTGTTCTTCCTGCCCGAGACGTATCCGCCCAAGCTTCTTTACGACAAGGCCCGGCGTCTGGGCCGCGAGACTGAGATGGGACAGCCCCAGGTTTGCCAGCAGCTGCGCAGCAGTCTGACTCGTCCGTGGCTCATGCTCTGTACGGAGCCCATTCTCTTCCTACTTTCTCTATACATGGCCTTCATCTACGGTATACTCTATCTAGATTTTACCGCCTACCCAATTGTCTACAAGGAGACGCGAGACTGGAGTCCCGGAATGGCGGGCCTCTCATTTCTCGGGATCGGTGTCGGCATGACCTTAGCGACCATAGGTTCTCCTTACATCAATGTAATCCACCGTCACTTTGTGCTTCGCCTCGGACCCAAGCCAGAGGCTCGTCTACCCCATCTGATTATCCTCGCCTGGCTCATCCCCATCAGTCTGTTCTGGTTCGGCTGGTCCGCCAAACCTCCGACCCACTGGATCTGTGGCATCATCGCCGGAGTCCCATTCGGGTTCTCAATCATCCCGCTCTTCTTGGGCATTATGGCTTACCTGACAGACTGTTATGGGCCCTACGGTGCCAGCGCCCTGGCTGCTAATGGTGTCTTGCGATCCATCTTTGGTGCCGTGTTCCCGCTCTTCGCCCAAGACATGTACAAGGGTCTGGGTGTCTCATGGGCCACCAGTGTCCTGGGTTTCGTCTCCCTGGCGATGACACCGCTACCATGGATGTTCTATCGGTATGGACCACGCATTCGTGCCCGCAGCAAATATCATCAGAAGACAGCCGCAGACCCATGGGAGTAGAAGACCGTGTATTCCCGTAGCCTGGTCTATGGTGGCCTGAAATATACTCGCTTGCATAATAATACATGAAGACTGTACACAAGATCAGAAGCTATGATGGTAGATCTATATCGTGGCTGGACCGAAAGCAGCGGAGAAGGTAGGGACAGCGTTCACCCAGGCATTCTCTAGCTGTCCAAGAATAAAATTAGGAGTAAAAATATGCAGCTCTACCAAGGGTCATTGAGCCAACGACGGAAGTATGTACTGCACGTTCTATATAAATAGACAAGAAGTCACCAGAGAAGTCTCTCAGTAGAGATCAAATAAAATGCTAGCCCTGGTAGGTAGTTACCTATCCCAATCGTTGTATTTGTCTTTATTATACACTAATTATTGTACTCTTTTTATACTCCCGGTCGCCTGTGAGACTATCGCTGAATTCTAAGGTCCGAGCTGGCCTGATATCATATCTACCCGGAAAATATTTAACTTTGCCTGCCTGTATGGGTATGAATCAATTATCTGGGCACATCTAGAAGAGTCCAGGTCTTGCAGAATTCGATAGCTAATCCTCAGGGAAGACCAGGAACGCTCCTCTAAGAGAAATGTGAACCAGTGACCAAGTCTATTAAATGGATATTGCCATTGTAGTATGTGCGTTATATTTTCTTCTGCCCTGTCCCGCCCCATTTCTCAGTCGACTGCATTAGATGTTCATTCGTGTTTATAACATTGGAGTGTATACAAGTTACTTGTGAATATTACTCTAGACCACGGATAACCCGGTCTGTTGTGAAGGGTGAGGCACGATCGTATCCCCTTAGGTATACAGTCTCGAGATTGTATATGTTTAACCCCACATCGGTGTGATTTAGATGAGACATGGAAGGCTATTAAAATGCTTCAGACAGAAATGATCATCCTGCGACTTTCTACCCAATGTACCTCGCCCCAGAAACTTGCCAACAATCCAACATTATGTGCAAAACGGCCGCTAGAGAATAGAAGAATTTCCCTTGGTCCCATCCTTCCTGTAGTATACGGGGGAGTGGTGAAGGCATCTTGAACTATTGCTCCCCTATATTCTCCACAAACTTGGCATTATAGTTTCACTAGGGAGTTCATTAGCTACAGTTCCTCGCGAGGGGGAGTGGTGATGTGACTGGTGACTGGCATACTGTTAATGCTTTGAAACCTTTCTTATAATATGCTCACAACGTCGTCCCAATTGGTAGGTTATTTTAAAGGCCTGATCATGACATGACTTCTACTAAGATTTGCAAGAGGGTACAGTAGTTATCTCTTGATGACCAAGGTCTGATTAATGATAACGAAGAAGATGATGTGTTTCTATAACCCATCTGTAACACAGCGACTGTTAGAGCAAGCCGACGGTATAGAACAAAGGAGTGTCGCATTGGAAACAGAGATAGAAACTTACGAAAGTGCTGATCTGACGAAACAGACATTTCATTACTTAGGCAACCAAAGATGCAGTAGCGTGTATCAGGAGGGGATTCGGAAACGTTCAAACTATTAGGATGAGTATGTACATAAGTAGTAGCATGTTATAGAATGCTTCCATTAATTTTCGGCTTTGAATTGATCCAAGCACCCACTCCTCCATAGCATATCTTTCCATGCAAGGTGAGTATTCATAATTATACATCAAAACGCCTCCGTCATCTATCCCATCAATTCAACTATGGTTATATTGCTCAACAGCCCATCAGGTAGGCACTTAGAGCCCGTAGTCCTTCGTCAGGCAAATTAGGACCGCGTTTAGGCCTTGCACTCCAACAGTTTTAAGCTTGTGACCTGCAGTATCATGTTAATACAGAAATCATTTGGGGACCTTCTCAACGACTAACTCTTTATACTTGGCATATTGTGCTATCAACTCTTTACCAAAAACCCAGGTTTCTGGCTCCTTCAAGCATTGGACGAGCTTTTCACAGTTTTTATCATCGGTGTATTTCAGCATATCCATGTTCATTATACCCCATCCCATTGCTTCCGAGACTGCGCAACTTTTGATCGCCTTCAGATCTTCTTCGTTGCAGTAATTGTGGGAGGCCTTTGTACATCTCTGCACAATTCTGTCTCCAAGGACTTGGACTTTTGGTTTGTAGTTTGGTAAAACTGGTTTCTGGGGGCATTCTCTGAGATTCTTGATGACATCCTGGAAGTGGGGCTCGAGCCATTTCCAGTCTGCTTTCCCGGGCTTTAGACCTTTACTGCAGACCAGTTCGTCCATGACGGGACCCAGTTGTGCCTTCGCTATATCGCTGATTGCGTCCAGATTGTCCGTACAGACATTACTGGGCAATGCATTGGTGACTGAGATACAGAGGAGAAGAAACGAGCTGAGAGGGGATATCAACTTCATGTTGGCAACAAGTTGTAGGATGTATATAGGTAAACGATTGGGAAAAGAAAGCAAAGAATCGTTCGGTGACTAGCATACAAGTTTCTACTCAGAATCACTGGTTGCTATAGGCTTATATAAACTTCCCGGTTGACCTCTATAGGCCCGATCAAAAAGCCCCGTTGTCGGAATTTCAATCTCCTCAGTTCTGCTTGAGGAGAATGTCATATCCTCTAACTATTGAAACTAGAATTTGATTGTCACTGCTATTCGGATAACAGGGCCAATGATATATCGGTGGTGGTTGGGCGTATCGATAGTTTGGTCTTGATAGTCAGAGGTTCTGAAGAACACTTCCTCTTTAGGTATCCGAGCTGGAGAACTCAAGGGACCGAACCCTGAGCTAGTGGAATTTTAATCTCATTAGTCCGATCAGATCACCAGCTACCAGTCATACTATCTCCCGCCATAAATGATCTTTACTATATGTAGTTAAATTAAGAGTCTAAGCATGTCGCTTATTCGATAAACCAATAAACAGACAAGATACTCAGCTAAATGCCAAGCCTATTTGGATTCCCCTGGCGTGTGAGAGCTTCCGTCGAACTTCAGTAAATGGTGGCGGAGGTCATACTAGTAAAAGAGGCGAGAACTTGATAATACTTGCAAGCTGGACTGCAGAGAATGCCACAAACTGATCATTCCTTGGTTGAACGCGATTCCTTTCCATCAACGTCAACTCAACCGGCAAGAACCCTCTTTGCTACCAGTTTACCGGCCTGAGGCACTTGAAGTGGACGGACAGATGATCGTGACGCAGTGCTTTCTGCAGTGTCTGCGAGAGGCAAGCGGCCGTCCATTTGCATATGATCTAATGTAGGCGGACACCAAGAGCTGCAATTTGGAATACGTCTTCCAACCCTTGCTTCTTGATGATGATGATGATGAAAATTTTGGAATCTTCTCTTGTGCCCCATCACGATCAGCAGTACTTTGGTTTGCCGCTCAGATAGAAAATACGGATGGTATGGTAGATCACACCTATTGCAATAAAACTTATCAGGGTGGTCGTCCATGAGCATTTTGAACTGCAGTGCCAAAAATATCCCAGCGAAAATACCCAAGTTGACAGCTCCAACATTCAGGGGAAGTGACCACGGTTGAACGGACAATATCCCACCAGATTCACGTGGCAGTAGCACCGGAAACGCTCCGCATGACAAAGAGGACCCCCTTGCCGAAAGCGTACGTAGTCTGGTATTCCCAATTAGTCGTTAGTACCTCAGGCCACCCTCCGTGTGTCTCCACTTCAGCCTCAGCCACAGGTTGTTGGTTTCCTTTTAGTATACGGGAGGAACGCTGCGTGGCTGCCTGCAGTACTCCATACTAGTACCCATTGAAACTATTCACCGCCACTACCCGCGACGTCGGAGGCCATTCGATGGTCCTCGGCCTAAAGGCATTTCTGTTACTCCGATTTACTCACTTCACCCTCCCCTGATGTTCTCAAGTGGGGAAAATTATTACCCTTGCCCCAAACAAAATGGTGCCGTCCGACACTCCACTCAATGAGCCAAAAAAAGGAGCGAAGTTAACAGTGACTAAGGGAAATGAAACAAGTTGTTCCATTCCTGATGCAGGGGCGTAGTCCATGATTCATGACTAACCTCTGCAATTCTTTTGCGGTTTTCAAGGCAGTATTGGAGTTCTTTTCCGGGGATCTCTCCCTTCACACTGTTTCATTGCCGCCGCGGATCTCCTGGCAGATGGCATAGGGCGCCGACAAGCCTTGGACAAGAGAAGCTTGGCAGGAGGGAGAGGCTCGGGTCGACCGGCTTCACGGCTGCCGGAATTTGTGGCTCCGTGGCTGATGGCCATATTTTTAGTTTACGCGCCCAGGAGTAAGGCTGAGGGGGCACGACCAGTGTGGACCCCCCATTTCGATCGGCGCTGCATAGCCTATGGATCTCTGGAGACACGTACTACGTATGTACTCTGTACCTACGGTGCTCCGTTCATGACAAGATTAGTCGTTTCGCCCTAACGGTCCCTTTGCAACTATCTATCGACGCTCATCCACCAGAGCCTATACTATGTAGCCGCCGTCGATGCCTAAGGCGGCATCCTTTTGAATGAGCAGAACAAGCCCGACTGCGACGGATTCTCTGCAGGGAAATGGGGACCTTGATCCACTACAATCTTTTGTTACGTTTCAAGCCACGCCCCTCTCCTCTGCCAAGAGCCCCGGCAACTGGATCGTGTCTGTTAAACCCATACCGTGGTTGGATTCAACAAAACCATAGTCTGGTACCATAGGAAGCTAAGCGCCAGCGTCTCCTCGTCTCGGTGTCTTGGCGGTGGCTGATGTACATATTCGCGCATGGAAGCACTCCTATCAGTGATCGCCTCCTATCCCGCGCCCGTTGTTATGCTTTTGGTAACGTGGCAGTCTCTCCGGCTGATCACTGGATGTGATCTGTTCGATTGGTCCACCACCCATCGCATGGGTTGCCTCCCTTCTCGCCTAGGTCCGAAACCCGGTCTCCATGAAATGAGATAGGTGGGGCAGAGAGCAACGTAGGCAGATGGAGGGGTAGCGATAAGCTGAAGGGTACGCCAGCTTGGTGGGGTGTGTGCCGGGGTATATTAAGATGTATCGTACCCCCTGCTGCTCAGACTATTCTTTTCCTCATTCTCCGTCCAAGAAAACTCCTACTCATCTCATTCGTCTCCATCTTTTCCCGCCTTTTTACATATCACAAAAATCATTCACAATGGCTTGGGGCTGGCGTAAGTCATTCTTCTCCTCGTCAAGCTTCACCGAATTCACCCCAGTTATCCCTCCGAGATATGAAGGGTTCCCCCCTGCTTGTCGGAACTCAGAACTTCTCGTAATGGCGGGGTAGTTGGTCTTCACATGACTGTCGATGGCTAACAGAATTCCTTTTATAGAAGAATCCGAGGAGGCTCACCGCAAGATGCAGGAGGGCCCTGAGAAGCACGAGGGTCACCTCTCTCACGAGCTGATTGCCGGTGCCGCTTCGTTCGCCGGTATGAAGGCCTGGGAGGACCACCAGCGCAAGCAAGGTATGTGAACACTGGCTGTGGTTTTGGCTTTCCATCCATGTGACAGCACCTGATAACGTTGTTGGAACTACAATAGGCAAGACCGTCAGCCACTCTTTCGCCAAGGAAGCCATTGCTGGCATTGTCGGTTCTCAGGTCGACAGACTCATTGAGACCAAGGGCAGGGACAAGATCGACGAGATCAAGGCCAAGAAGCACGCCAAGGAGAACGCCGAGCGCATGTACGATGAGCACTATATTCAAGGACAAAATGCTCCTCACTACGACCCTCAGGAGCACAAACCCCATCCGTCCTTCGACCGCTGGTGAACATTTCACGGGACGGAGTTGAACTGCGGGAGACGATCCTCAGTCAGTTCCAAATGATGACGCTTGTATATAGAAATGAATGAAATAAATATCTGTGAAAGGAATCTGTCAACTTGTCCATTCTCCCGGGTATACTAAAGTGGATATAAAAGCTCCTCCTGCGATTGAAATAAAAAACAAATAATGATCCTTGGCAAATACCAACGCGCCTTGGCAGGTTTAGTCAACGTACGTATGTACAAGAGTTATGTAGGATTCCGCAGAGTCTGGAAAGTCATCAGAGTATGGCCCACTTGCCTCCGAGACCCAAGTGTGTCGGGTGCATCAGGAATCGAAGAATTCGATACGAGTCTGGAAACTACTCCTGGTCGTAGTTAGTTAACCGTTCATGTACCTGATGCGGTAATCAATTCGATCAGGATGACATCGACAGGGGTCCGGCCCTTCACTGCGTACAGAATCCACGTTGGATTTTCTCCGACCGGTGGGAAAGTCACTGACTCAGCATGGCGGAGGAGCCAGTAAGGGGAGCCCAATTGACCCCCACTGGAACCAACCACAAATGATGTCTCTTAGACCGCTGCACGTGCATATCTCCGAGCCTATCAGAGCGTTCTTGAACCAATGATTGTCGGCCCAGATCGACCTGGATGCCCTGTGTTGGCAAAAAGCTGAGAGTTACTTCAATCGCCGGGATGATCTATCAGGCTTTATTGTCCTTGGCGAGCACTGAATGGTGAAAAATTCCTTTATCTTTCCATTTTGCTTTTTCTCTTTTTATTTCTTTTTCTTTTTCTTTTTTTTTTGATTTGAAAATCACCCCCCCGTTCGTTTCCTTTTGTGGAGGTGGATTTCCCACTCGTCTCGCTTTTCACTCCCAGCGCCATTGCTATACTTAAGTTGGTCTCGGACAGATTCATTCTCCTGTCTTCCCTTCTTCCCTCATGATGATATAAAGACCGACGAAAGCGTTCCGGACTTCCAACACAGCGGCCATTTTCCCGTCTGAATTCGAGACTTCCGATCACTTTCTCACCACTGCTCGCCTCACTACCATGCCCTCTTATCTCCCCTCTTCCGCAGAATGAAATTCGCCAAGTGGGTTACACTGGTGCAGACCAATTCACATGCATAACGGCTAACATTCAAGTTCACAGAGAGCTGGAACAGGAATTAGTTCCAGAATGGCGCGCCAAATATCTCGACTACAAGGTTTGATCCCATTGTGTGTGTTTGTTTCTCTTTTGCTTTTTCGTTAGTTCCCCAAATCTGACTGTCTCGTTCGGGCTATAGGCGGGCAAAAAGAAACTTAAAGCCATTTCACGAGCACTCCAGAAGACCAATCGAAGTCCCAGCCATGCGTCCCTCCGGCACATCAACCATGGCGATCCGTCAACGATAACCGCCAGTGGTCCCGACCCTCCCTCCTCGCTCCATCAATCGGACAGAAAGCATCCAGCCACCGACCCGACTTACAACCCGACGTCGCCAGTCAGAAGTGGTTCTCGGACATCACGCTCAACTCCCGGTCGACGAAGCGAGCGCCAGCCCCTGCGAGTGCCTGGCTCCCGGTTCTCAACGACGGTAGGAAGCTATGGAAGCATCATCGCCACACCCCCACTGCACGCTGGCTCTTCAGATGTGGCCTCGTTCGAATTACCGGACCCGGCGATCGACTTGAAGGTCCAGGACTTTGCCCCGAATAGCGAGATCACCCGCCCCGATGAACCCCGGAGCCCTTCGCCAGTTATGGCACGCAATGCCAGTACCAGGACCGTGCCGGAAATATCCCAGCGGAGCCCGTCCACCAACACCGATAAGGATGGAAAGAGAAACACATTTTCTGGCTCAAACAGCAAGCGAGCCTCCGAGATCCTGAAGCGGGTATTCACATACACTGAGTCGCAAGAGAAGCAGGATGATCAGCCATCTTCGGAATACCAACGGCGGCAAGACGAATTCTTCGCATTCTTGGACGACGAGCTGGCCAAGATCGAGTCATTCTATCAGATGAAAGAAGAGGAAGCTACTGAACGCTTAAAGGTGCTCAAGCAACAACTTCACATTATGCGCGACCAACGCATCCAGGAGGTCTTGAGCAATAAAAAGGGCCGAACGCAGAACGGACACTCGCACAAAGAGACTGGTTTCGGGGGACTCAACGGTTCCCGGTTGAAGGAGGCCTTTGTGGGACGTCGAATCGGGAAGAATTCCAAGGCATTAGCCGAATTAGCCACGCCGGCAGTAAATCAAGGACAGGATGCAGAGGTGGTGAACCGCCGCAGGGACTTCACTCGTCGACCTGAAGACGCAGCAAATCATGAGGTCCCCTATCGTTCTGCCAAGCGGAAGCTTAAACATGCGCTTCAGGAGTTCTACCGCGGCGTGGAGCTGCTGAAAGCGTACGCCTATCTCAATCGGACTGCCTTTCGCAAAATCAACAAGAAGTATGACAAGGTGGTTAACTCCCGTCCACCCCTGAGGTACATGTCGGATAAGGTCAACAAGGCATGGTTTGTACAAAGTGAGGTCACCGAAAACCTGATGGCCGCCGCGGAGGACCTTTACGCTCGCTATTTTGAACGCGGAAATCGCAAGATCGCCATCTCCAAACTACGCAAGACCCTCAAGAAATCAGGCGACTATTCGCCAAATACATTCCGTGCGGGTCTTCTCCTGATGGCTGGTATATTGTTCGGCATCCAAGCTCTGATATACGCCGGTCAGCATTTTCATCACCCGGATCCCGTGGTACCCATCCACACCAGCTATTTACTGCAGGTTAGTTTGAACGACTCTATGATATACGCCATGTTAGGCTACATCAGTTACGACGAGACTGACTTGAACAGATATACGGCGGGTTTTTCCTCATAGTCTTTCACTTCTTACTGTTTTGCTTGGATTGCATTATTTGGACGAGGAGCAAAATCAACTATGTCTTTATTTTCGAATACGATACTAGAACTGCGTTAGACTGGCGTCAGCTAACTGAGGTATGCGCTCCCCAAATACCATCATCGCGGTCACGCTAACGCCAAAACAGCTACCTTGCCTTTTCATGTTTCTCTTGGGTCTCTTCATGTGGCTTAACTTCTTATCGGTTAATGCCATGTACATTTATTGGCCAGTGGTGCTTATAGGAATAACGGTGGTCGTTCTTTTTCTGCCTGCCCGTATACTTTATCATCGCAGTCGAAAATGGTGGGCGTATTCCAATGTGAGTGAACCTTCAGCTGTATTCGGGAATGGCCTGGCTTACAAGCAGCAGTGGCGTCTATTGCTAGCAGGACTGTATCCTGTCGAGTTTCGGGATTTCTTTCTGGGCGACATGTACTGCTCACAGACTTATGCTATGGGGGTAAGTGTATGACGGTCTTCTGACACATTGAAACTAATAACGAATCTAGAATATCGAGCTATTTTTCTGCCTTTATGCTAAACACTGGACCGAGCACGCGCAGTGCAATTCTTCTCACTCCAGACTATTGGGATTCTTCAGTTGCCTGCCATCTATATGGAGATCTTTGCAATGTCTGCGTCGATACGCTGACACACGGAACGTTTTCCCACACCTACTAAATTTCGGAAAGTACATCTTCGGTGTTCTCTATTACGCCACCCTGAGTATGTATCGCATCGACAGAGTGACCCGATTCCAGGCACCGTTCATCACATTTGCGTTATTGAATGCAGTCTATTGCTGCGTTTGGGACCTTGCCATGGACTGGAGTTTAGGGAACCCTTATGCCAAGCACCCCCTTCTACGCGAGGTTCTGGCTTTCCACAGGGCATGGGTTTACTATGCAGCCATGGTTGTCGATGTCGTGGTGCGATTCAACTGGATATTCTACGCCATATTCGCTCACGACATCCAACATTCGGCTGTGCTCAGCTTTGTGGTTGCGTTCTCCGAGATTTCGCGAAGGGGTATATGGACGATATTTCGAGTGGAGAACGAACACTGCACGAATGTTCTACTTTTCCGAGCGTCACGAGATGTGCCTTTGCCTTATGAGGTGGCCTCACTACATACAGAAACCGACCAACCAGCCGAGGAAATGATGGTTCAAGAACCACAGCAGCCCACTCCTCAACCTCCAGCGGCCGATATAGAACACGGAACTCCGCCCACGCCGGGTACATCCCTCCGGGCACGCGGCTTATCCCGAGTGGGAACCATTCTGGCCTCCGCCCATGCACAAGACTTCCAGCGCAGAAAGCGACCGGAGGATCTGGGTGGTGCCTCTGCGTCTCATACAAACGCAGACACCCCTGAGGACAGCAGCGACGACGACGATCCGACCGACTCCAGACCCTACTCAGATAACATCATTGTCGAAGACTACGCCTCATATGGAGACAACGACGACAGATTTGCACACTAACGACTACACCATCCTTTTCATCTTGCATTTTCGGGAGCCCGTTCTGATTTTCCAGCCACAAAAGTCGCATAATTTCTTATTCATGGACATAATTATAATGACATATAGAAATACATAGTCTAATAGAGATAGGTTGATGATTGACTTTCTCCTCTTCCCAGTCTAATCTGCAAGGAAAGACCGCCCCGCCCCTTCACCATGGCAATTCAGCAGACCTCTATCAGGATCTACATAGCCCTGTCGCTGACTCCAAACTCAACCACCCGCCCTACAACCCTACGTAGACAGACAACACTCCCCAACCCCCGAAAAGTAAATGTCCACGCCATCGAAGCCGCGCATTGAACACAAGATCTCCTTCCTAATCCATCAAATCAAGTCCCAAACATGCTCCGATCCAAAAACCACCCACCACCCTCCAGTGGACAACTACTATCCATAAAACATCCCCCCCCCCCGAAGCGAGCAAAATCCACGTCATCCCCATCACCCCTGCATCCCCGAACCCTCCGAGAATGCAACCCGTCGATCCTCGCGCCCCATCCCTACGAGGCCAAATATGTGGGTAACATGATGATCCATGGGCGGTCATTCATGTCGATCTCAACGATCGTCCCTTGGGATGGGGTTTTGCTTCGGTAAGGGCCGAGAGTTTGCTGGATACAAGAAAAACTTTCTTCTTCCTGGAAGAAATAGGGTTTCAGTAATTAATGGATGGTGTTTCGGGGTTTGGGTTTGGGTTTGGGGGGGGGGGGTTCGGGAATCGGCGTGAGGTTTTGCAGGTGGCTTATCGTAGTTGAAGAGGATGGATACTAGTAGATCGTTAGCATTTGTTAGGGCTCACACTGGTTGTTTGTGAAATGGGGTGTCTGCTACAGCTAGATTTGGGGGAACTGTGAAAACACTGAACGGCAACAAATGACCATTTGTTTTTTGTTTTTTGGTGCCAGAAACCACGCCCAGGCTACTTATTTAGTACACTCATCTACTACTAACAATTTTTGGTCCCGTTGTTTCTTGGCTACTCAAGACGTTGGACTCGGATAGTACGCATGTACTCGTCGCTATATATATATATATATATCCCAGCAAACCCTAGCTTCTTCTACCCGTGGTCCATACCCCCCCCAGCATTTATACTATCCTGGCAGATATAGACAGCTGCAACTGAAAAATTGGAATGGATGGCTTGGATAACTTCAAGCTTTGTGCATGTCAGATGGCGCAGGTTTATTTATACCAGACCGATCATTGTTCTCTGCAGAGAGATTACGCACTAGCCTCCCTATTATGATCTAGTTGGGGTTGTGATACGTGCCAGCAGGATCGGCTTGCAATCAGTACCGCTGGTTCGCGTAGGTGCTCGGGATTATGGAGAGAGTCATCTCTGGTATTGGGCACACCTGTATCGCGCAGGTCGCTTACGTTGTTGTTGTTGTTTAGGGGCTGGAAACCCCACAGACCACAGGTCCATTCACTGCGATCGGCGGGAGGCTTAGAGGAAGTTAAGACGTCAGGCCTCTCCCAACAGCAGCGCGCCCAGCTTTTGCGAAGCATTGCGCACAGGCCCGAGCCCACCAGGTCGCTTGTATTGCTGATGGGGCCGAAGCCCAGCACATCCCAGCCTGACGGGCCATGATCGGCGTGGGGGCCAGAGGCAGCTGGAAAAACCAAGCCTCGAGATAGGGCTACAGAGCCCGTTATACATCCACGGGGCTAGGCCTATCCAGGTAATGGAGACGCAGCACGAATCAACGCGCGACAGGACACCATGACTTGCACAAGGCTTATTTTTACGGAGTAGGCCTGAAGCGGGAAGATTATATTATTAAAGAGGGTTGAATGAAGCCCCCCGCTGCGGGTTCTGTGCTCTGAGGTCTCTCTCATAACCCCCTGCGCTTTACAAACGCAACATGATGGATTTCTGGAGAAGGGAAGAAGGAGGTGCAGCATGTGAGCTGGTGGGCGAGGAAATGGCCACCTTGGTGGGCAATGGGGTTTGTATACGCCTGTACAAAGCTGCCGATGAGTTAGTTCCATGCTGATTATCAGAGTAGGTTCTTGTGGCTTCGCCGGCCAAGCAGCCTTATCCCTCGGCCTGTCAGCGTGGGTGTTCTTCCTAACCACCCACGGCAACATGGACATCACATACCCGGAGGGCTCTATGCAGCGCGAGATCGAGCGCAAGCGGCTAGAATTCGTGTCGAACATTCTCATGATCGGGTCGGATATCCAATCCACGCTCGGGATATCATACATGGTCACGGTGTTCTCGCAGGCCCAGATCATGGATACATACCACCTACACCTCGTGTTCGACATCGTCAGCTTCGTCGGCGTCTCGAACACCGCCGCCCTCGTCTGCTGGCGATTCTGCCGCGCGAAGATCGAGGCATCGGACACCACGCCTCATCCCAAGGGCACCCGCGACCGCATATCCTATTTCCACGGTCGCTACCGAGCCACCTTCGGCTTCACCATCCTCTACCTGGCGCTTCTCATCCTCCTCTGCGTCCGCCTCGACGAATGGGCCCCGAACAAGGCGCCCGGTCGTTGCTACTTCTCGCACTTGGTAACCAGCCCGTCGGCCTCCCATCCCGGCGCAGACCAGGTCTACGTCGCCGTCACCGGCTCCTGGCTTATAGTCGTCATCCTTGCCAGTGTGTTCTCCGGCGTTCGCGGGCGACGCTGGATCCTGATCCTCTCCTCGTTCCACTTCCCCTTGCACCTCTATATGGCGATTGCGCTGCGGCAGGCAAACCAGGGCAAGTTCGAGGGCGAGACGAAGCACGAGAACGAGTGGGACTTTGGGCAGACGACGGCGGTGGTCCTTCTGGGCATTGCGTCGTAGAGCTCTTGACTAAGGGGAAGAAGTACTATGACTTCGAGAAGCATGTGAGAAAACATGGTGTCCTCCCAGATGCGGGTGACCGGGCGTCCCAGAAAGATGAGGAGGATAACTATCGCCTTGAGACGGTACCGAGAGACGAACATACTGTTGAAGAGAGGCACTTACTGTCGAAGAGACATGCTACATGTTGAAAGGCTAGATATGGGTCTTTTGTTTGGATATATAGCCAGATTAGACTGGATTAATTCGATTTATTATGACCGAGTACATCGAGGGATCTATGTGTCGTGAGGTTATATTTGTAACGGGCCAGAGCCTAATATAAGATCAATATGATCTGCTTTCTCGGTAATTCGCTGCGGGCGCTCCTGTTTCTGCAGACTATTGGTACACAGTTCGTGGGTTTAGTCAGATTGAATCAAATCTTGCTTTAGCCCTTCACAATATTGAATTTCACAGCCTGAATGGATGGGAACCCGGTGGAGCAGGCGAAATTGCAAGGGGCATAGCGACAAGATAGAGGGTGAAAGTAGAAAGAGATGGAAGTGGGAAAACAAGTCGAGGTTGGATTATTTTGCATCTTCAGTATTTCCTTAGCCTTACTGTCGTCCTTACTGTCGTCCTTTCTTGTCCGTGTTTATGTTTTAGTGGGTGTTCTTTAAATGAGTCATTCTCGACTCTTGCACTACTGATGCCTGCAGGAGATCAAGCTTCAATTATCAATAATTCAGAGCTCCAAAGCACTACTTAAAATACGGTATATCACATATGACGGCCGAAAGAGAAAGAGCTAGAACGCCAGGAACAGGGCCAAGTCATGGGCAAAAAGACCTAGCTTGATTAATAGACATATGGAAACAAGCCCAATTTGACGGCTGAATACAATTAAGTCATCTTATCAGACAGTCTGGAACTGCGACACAATTTGTCTTCCCAGCCCTTCGGTCTCAAGCAACCAACTTTGATACACAGGTCTAGTTGTTCTGCTGGTTGTTTAGGATCCGGAGGATGGCCAGGAACAGGTTAAGGATATCCAAATAGAGCGAGATGCTTGCGGCAATCTCCTCCTCAACATGGTAGTGTCTCATGATCAACTGCGTGTCAACAAGAATGTAGCCGGAGAAGATCAACGCCGCCAAGCCGCTGTAGATGAGCTCAACAGTAGAGCTATTAGGGAGGAACGCAGCGACGAAGCCGAACAGGATCAAGAACCAGAGCGCACCGAACAGGTACGGCATCCAGTTCGTGAAATCGTACTTCGTCTGACATGCGAAGAGCGTGAGCGCGACGAACATGCCGAGTGTCAGGATAAGGGCTTGCACTACGATGCGCGCGTCATAGAAGGACGTCACGACGCTGATGGAGTAGGCCTCGAGAACCGTGAAGGCTGTCAGGAAAAGAAGGTTGGTCGGGTAGCTCTTGCGCTTCCAGTATGTTACGAGCATGAAGCCCAAGGCACCGAAGACGGAGACGATCATCAGCCAGAAGTTGGACTGAATCCAAAGGCGGTAGCTGTCGCTAAAGAAGGAGATTGAGCTCAGGATGGTTGTTAGGAGGAGCTGGGCAGTTCTGTGGTTTGAAGCTTCTGTTAGTCTTGCAATCGTGCACTTGTTGATCGAATGAGGAATGATTGGGATAAGGGTGGGACATACAGGATCGCGTAGACCTTCCGGACGAATTGCATCCGGATAGGTAGAGTTCCTTCTGCGACCATTCCACCGAACTAGATTGTGTTAGTATCATTTCGTTCATTTCGTTGCTAGGGTGTGGCTGGTTGTCCGGAGGCATAGTGGATACGTACTTTGAAGTCATCGGGAACATTGTCGTCCTCACTGCGAGGCGCTTGGGAGTATTCGGCCGTTGCCTGATAAGATGGCGGGGGCTGAGTGTATGCGCGGTCCTCAAACGAGTCTCGCTGAGGAGCTGGCTCATATCTAGTATTAGCAGCCATGGTGCTAACAGATGCGTTGACCGGTGATTAATCTAGAGAAAAGTGCAGCATGCACGTCGAGGGCGAAGAAGTAGTATTACAATGAGATTGATGGATGTGAGATGACATTCAATGGCGGCCTACGGGAGCTTCTAGAACGTGACGTCGGAGGCAGTCACATGATGTAACTGCCTCAGGCGGAGGCAATATATCGGCTTTCTTCCACCAATACTTGCCATAGGATGTAATCCGATGTATGAGACGTTCTTACAAGTATTTACCACAATCACTCTTTACAGAACAGATCCCCGATCCCCGATCATATTGTATCGTCTTATAAAATCCAGTCTACTCCCCTCAAGCGATGTACATGTGTAGGGTCAGGCAAATTAGTAACACTGAGAAATCATACTAAATCCTTATATATGTAATATAGACATGGAAACAGAAAAGGTTAAAAGAGAAACGAAATAAGTCTGCAGTGAAAGAATGTGACAAATCCTGAATGAATCCGAAATACTGATGACCAACCAAAGCATATCCCCAACGCCTATCAATGATATAGTAGTAATTGATTCAAGAGTGGACCAAACTAAACCTGCTCTAAACCAACTGAGGCGCAAAGGAGAGAAGAAAAAGAAAAAGAAAGATGGGAGAGTAGTGAGTGTATGGGAAGGAGAGTAAAGAATTGGCAGTAACATAACTGAAGAGTTACCTGTCTAGCACAAAAAAAAAGATGCCCTGCGGCATCGATAGCGTGATGTATCAATCTAATGTTTTCTAGTGTGAGGCAATGAAGAGCGAGTTGGTGATGAGACAGACAATCATGACAATGACTCCGTATATTGCGAGTGCCAGACTCAGCTTCCGCAGTACAGCCTTGCGCCAATGGCGAGTCCCACGACGAAGGATACCACTCTCAGTAAGCGAGCGGGCTTGATTATCTAGGTCATCGTTGTCATCACCATCGTCGGAGAACATGCCTTCAGCCGCTTCGTCATCTTCTTTCATCAGTCGTTGGTGGGCAGGTGAGTCGGGCGAGGAGATCTTATAATAGAACAGCCCCGGGAGAATGAAACTGATGCTGGTACTTCCAGTGCTACCAACGTACGCAAGCACCGCTTCGAGAGAAGAGACGGTCATAGCAACAATGTAACTCAGTACTAAGATCGTTGTTGTAATGACTGAGAAGCGAAGATCACTCATGGGCTCGGGTGTTCGGTTGCCTCGTGGACCTAGCAGAGGATGGCGGTGAGGCGAGTTATCGTTGCTGTTTGAAGCCTTAGGTTTCCACTTCAAAACTGCATCAACCGAGGCGCGGCACGGGTGGCATTGAAGGGGGTACGAGAACATAACCAGCATGACGATGGCAGCACGTCCAATTGTCGCCCAGAGCCCAGGGGGGTACATGCCCACGATGTTTCCCCCGACACTGTCTCCAAACGACAGATATCCAGTAATGGCGACAAGAACGTATGTTGCAGCAGAACTTCCAATACTGGCAAAGACAACCCCAGTCGTTCTAAAGTGGCTATTGTTTGCGATCTCGTTCAATATCGAAAACATCTGTCCGGTAATTAGAAACATGATCCCAAACGAATGGAAAAGAGGCCAAAACTATACATTCTGGTGACATGTGAATGCGAAGACAATCACAGGCAGACTGCTGAGCATCGGAACGGGACCGGCCCAGTGAATCACACGAACTGGGCCTCGATCCGCCATTGTATCACCAATCACAAAGTGATAGAGAACCAAAACAACCAAATAGGCCATGGAAACCAAAGCAGCAATGCTGGTGTATTTGAGGGAATCTAACCGGCGAAGGTAAGAGAGTGGGATCACAACCAACCTGTGACCTGTGGTCAGTACGAGTTGAGTTTCCAGAACAAAACAACATACATAAAAGCTGTGACCCAGAAATGCCGGTCCACCAAGAAGTCATAGTCCGGGGTGCCACCAACAAAGCCCTGAACAACTCCCGGCATTAGGTCTCCAATGATAATTAGGTAACTGACTCCAACTCCGAAACACTTGATCGCAATGGCGGCATCGAATATCACGGCAGCATTGGGGTAGGTAAGCTGGGACAAGGCGAAGAATGACGCAGTTCCCCTATCTAGGTACTGCGCACACCGGGACTGGAGGTAGAGACCGAACCCTGCTGTTGTTCCAGACCATAATATCACGATGACACCCAAAACGATTCCCATATGAGATATAGCCAGAGGCATAGCAAGAACACCGGCGCCGATGACTAACATATCACACCGGTATTAGAGAATGTACTTCGAATTGACTGCTTGTCTGTCTACTCACTCGTATTGACCAGATTGATCACACAGCTAATCCAGCTGGCTTGACCGTGAAACCCCGGGTCCCGTTTCCCTCTTATTCCACGCCTACAGAAATGGGTAATTACCCCTAGTTAGCAACACGCGACCATTTAAAAAGCGACATCAATGCTTAAGGTATTATTAAAATATACCTTCGCGATGCGTTTCGAAGTCCGTCGGCGGGACCAACCCCGACAGTAGCCTCATCGTCCAACATTTTGTGGGGAATGTGTAGGGCGATCGAGTGAATAGATAAGAAGGTGGCCACACGACGTCGGAAAAAAAGCTGTTATCAACCAACTCAAGTTGCGACGGGTGTGACCAACATAATAGCCACTCGTACCAGCGACGCAACCAGGCGAAGGTGGATGAGGGAAAGAGAATGGAAAGGAAAACGAACGAGAAGGAGTATAAAAGGGAAAAAAAGAGCAAGGGTAATATCCGAAGATAAGGGAAGATGACAGGTTTGAGGATGTTGCCAGTCATGGGCGGAGTTGCGACAAGGCGATAAATCTACGGGCACTAGACCCTTTCCGATCGCAGGGCGGATTTTCTCCGCATTTGATGACCTGGTTTGATCCAAGTCACGGGGGAGGGGATCTTTTTACCTGTTACGTTTTCTGCTCTCGATCTAATAATATCTACTGTACCATGTTAGGTAAGGGAGAGAGCCATGGGAGAAGAAGTTCTTAATTACTAGATAAAAGCCATATCCCTCACAATTTCGGAGTTCCCCATCCTTTCTCCGATAGTAGCCCAAAGACTTCGTCTTCTAATACGGTCATGTCCGACACCGTATTGCCGGCTCTGGTCCCAGGGCCTGGATCATTAATCGCACTCACAGAGCGCACCGTCTTGGACACTTCCAGCACAGTTCCCCCGTGTACCCGAAACTGTGGTCCTTGACCGGTCCTGTCACCGATAATTTCACTGACCTGGTCCTGTTGAATGAGAGCTAGCATAACTTGAGCTACCTCCTCGGGGGTGACCCATTCATCAGTGGCAGTATCAACGATCTTTAGCTTCTCCGGATGGTCGGTCCACAATGGGGTCTTTATCACACCAGGGGCAACGGCTGTCACGCGAATTCCAAATTTGCTGTCAAGCTTGCCCAACGACCGTACAAGACCGTTGATACCATGTTTGGTAGCGACATAAATCGGAGCCGCCAAGGCTGGATTCTGACCTGCAATGCTGGAGATATGAACAATGTGTTTCGGACGTCCGTTTGTCCGACGGCGAACGAAATGAGCCAGAGCAAGTTGCGTAGTGCGAATCGGATGTGTCAAGTTGATATCTAGCAGGGCGTATCGGTTGCCATGTTGCGGGTCCCGGCTTTCACGAGTACCGGGTGGGCGCCAAAAATTGCTCCAATGCTACACAACCTACCGCGTGAGAACCATGACTTGAGGCAATGAATGGCGGTGTGCCACCGCAACTTGCAGATTGGTTGACGAACGAATGAAAGAAACGTACCGGTTCGTAGACCCCAGCTCCCGGACACACTACATCGATCTCCCCGAACTCCTTCTCGGCGACCTCGAACATCAGCTCAAGCTGTTTCCAGTCGGTCACGTCGGTCCTCTGAAAGATGGCCCGGGGACTACTAGACGATGTCGAGTATTTATCCACCAGTTCCTGCGCCTCCGGACGAAGCGCTAGATCCGCAATGAGTACATTACATCCATGCTCCAGCAATAGTTTGGCAAAGGCAAAGTTAATTCCTACATTCGTGGTTTAGTAAACTCCCTATGACTCGGAATGTAAACGAAGCACTAGATGTCCTGCACATACCCGAGCCCGCCCCAGTTACGATAGCAGATCTTCCTTCGACGGAGAATGACATGTTGAAGGAGAGAAGAGTGAACCGTCCTTCAGAGAGGAGTGTAAATGTCCACGGAGTTAAAAGTTGGATTCTACGGGACTTTATACCGCCCGCAAGCAATGTTACCAAGACCTTCGGGGTCCATTGCTACGTCGACGGTGGCTGTAGTTCCCCTCTTGGGAAACGTGGAGTGAATTCGCGGGGCTGCATTGACCCGAGGGTCCTGGGTGGACCGACTCGGAAAGAAAACCGAAGTTTTGTCATGCTGATCCTTTATACAATGATGAAAAGCTGTAGCTAGGATCGTACTATCAGTATACGTAGCATGTAGTTCAGTGACTGGATTTGGATTGATAGGTATAATCCTTGATGTGTAGAATTACTAGTATATGTACCTACTAGTATAAACACCAGATTTATCTAGCCTAGCTATCGTAGCTTTCCTGTTTTGGATAAATTCCGCCGGAGTATTCTTAGACCCTCTTTATGTGGGGTGCAGCACGGACTACTACTCCTAAGACTAGTACTTCGTCGTTTAGCAAACTTTCTCGAGCTACTTTCTATTTAGTTAGATATAAAGTGACTGATTTCTTATAAAGTATCTAAGATTCCCGACTCACAGTTATGCTCAATTAAATATGAGAGCATGCCATTGTAGTCGTATTCGCACCCCATGATCCGCTGCAAACTGTTCGGGTTACATTACGTACGGTACGTTTGGATGCAAGAAATAGACGGGTACACTTAGCACGAAGAGAGTAGCAAAGACAGCAGACAGCCCTGTAAATCAATTGGCTACTTTGTAACAACCATAGGGAAGATACTAGGGATACACCACTCCATATCCCCGTTCGTGTCCATGTAGAGGGACCATTTGCCGAAGTCTATATGCCGCACCGAATGCGAATACTTGTTAGTAGTGGGATCATAATCATGGAAGGTGACTGCTGGAAGTTGCCACCAACCAGTTGCAGACTACAAAACTCAATGAGTTCTTGAGCGAGAATAAAATGCGATGTCTAATGATGCAAATCTTCGGTAAGTGGCCAGAAATATAGAGCCGGAACGGATTGTTAACAGCTTGCTATTCTTTCCAGATAGGCAGATACACGCCCCTTGAGGCGAGGTCATTTATTTTTAATTGTGTAGTTTGGTGGTCTGCAACTTTTGTATTTCTTTCCATCCTCTCTTCGCTGATGTTAGGCTTTGTATTAAAAGGTTCTGATAAGGGACCTATCTATTGTATTGTTATTACAACCCTTATCATGATGAAGATGTGCCATAAGCCCCTGGTATGATGCCAACTTCCCCGAGCTGAGAATTTGCTCTGTTTATGCTCTCAGCAGCTCATTTTCTATAAACTCTAGTATGTAGGATCTGTTATACCTGTCACGGCGGTTGCTTGAGGCAACGATCTCCCAGATAGTAGCATACAGGTTATAATCTAGGAACACTGTCAGGATCAAAAGGATGAAAAAGATCACCTTTCCCAATTGATGCGAGAGAGGATAACCTGAGTTTTCATAACCGCTAAGATATTAAGACTTGTGCTACTGACGAGCGTCCGAGGCCTACTAGTACTTATATCGCCAAGAAGAGGAGCGCAACGTCGTATACAATTTCACGCTGAATAATTTACAAAGATGTTCAATACTTTACATTTTATTCGCTATATACTCGCCTCTTATATCCGTTCACTCACCCGAGTCTGTATCTGCCTAACCTCACCTCTATGTGCTAAAAGTACCAGCGAAAAAAGCAACGTCATAGCCAATCCAACACCCCCATAAGTATACGCAAAAACCGCAACTCCATATCCTCCAACGTACCCCAATTCCTTAGATACCAGATTCAAACCTGTGCCCACTAGCGGAATCACAGCCAAAGCAAAGGACCCAAACAATCCAATCTCAGCACCAGAGGGCTGGCCCGCGCGAAGACGCGCAAAGCTCACGACATAGACCGCGGTAAAGATATGGCCCAGTATGAACGCGGCGGGGGATTTGGTGCGTATGGATTCTAGGGCCCCGTCGAGAAAGGAGAAGAGGGCGATAACTAGAGATGTGTTTGTGGGGAGTGATTCAAGAGATTGTTGGATTGTTCCTGTGCGCGTATACGCGATCGCGGCTGTGGTGAGGAAGAGGGCGATAGGTAAGGTGCCAGGGGTTAGTCGTAACTATGGGATTTTGTTAGTTAGTCACTTGATATAATAAGAGCTATGAGGATCCATTTACCATTTTCTTGTCTCTTGTGCTTTGATTCATTTTCTTTTAATCTTCTCGCAGTTTGGTAGAGTTAGGTTTGCATTGTTTGTTTGTTTGTTTTAAGATTTTCATAGTCCTTATGTGTGACTTCAAGGACTATCATATATATGCACCTTACTTTCCTAATCTGCTATGATTGAGCTCTTCGCTGCGGTCCAGTATTGTTGTTCCAGTCTGGGTGTTCCCTGATCTACTCTCAAAAAATGAACTTCATCCCACCCTTTGGAAGAATATATCCGAAAGTTGGTACCGGAATTGATCGGTTCCCGTTCATGCTGATTACCTGGAATAGCTCATGATACTTTGTGGCATGCCTGGGATTTATAAACTACACTGACCGTATCCAGGCCTGTAGATTGACTCTAGATATGATCAAGAGGATCGCAGACATGGGAAGCTTCATGCGACCGATCATCTTTACTACTGATGTCTGGACCATTGGCAAGAATGGGGGAATAGAATATTGCAGGGGGCTTTCTTCCAGCCACCGGTGATGACTCGGAGGTGTATACTAATCTAATCTGATTTATTCCGTAGAGGATGAGGACTGGAGTCTGTATACATAAATCAAATTACCATCCGGGTATTTTTGGGAAAGATGGTGTAGCCTTGTATAGTTAATACAAGTGCAGGGATGTTGCCCTGATACCTACTAATAAACAGTACTACTAGTAGTAAATGGATCATTAGATGGCGTTAGGGTGCCCTATCATACGCCAGCGATAGATAGCCAACTAGTACTACATCCTAGTACTACCTAGTATATAATGGGGTTTGACTTCACATTACTATTCGAGCAAAGCATCCTTTCCCTTCTTCCATCCGCCATTCTGATCTTGCTGTTTCCGTGGCGGCTCTCTCACCTACTACGGCAAGATGTCAAAGCAGCACAGAATAATCGACTCTACACGAGACTGGTCAGTGGTGCCACCCTTCGGTATCAAGATCAGGCCCCGTTAACCTTCAGACTTTGCATAGATCGTATTTGCGGCTTTCGCTACCCTGCAGTTAGCCCTGTTAGTCAAATGGGCGTCTCCATCCGTGCCGTCTGACCGCATGTCCGTCCCAGCTGCTTCCCTCAGGGTCGTTGATGCCTTGGTCATGTTTACCTTATCGGCTGTCGAATATCGACGCTCTATCCGGCCCTCCACGATTCTAAATATCTTCTTGTTATTTAGTCTCCTTTTTGATGCCGTCCAGGTGCGGACCCTTTGGCTGATGCATGACCAAATTTCTCTGTCTGCTATTGCAAGCGCTAGCCTAGCTACGAAAGTGATATTGTTGATTCTGGAGGCTCAGAATAAACGTAATGTCCTACGAGACCCGTACAGCAGTCTCTCTCCAGAATCTGTAGCTGGCATATTTACCCGGAGCTGTTTCTGGTGGCTCAATTCGCTTTTGTGGCGAGGCTTTCGCGCATTGCTCTCGCCATCGGATATATTCCAAGTTGACTCTGACCTATCTTCCATGTTCCTGAAGAGAAGGTTTCTCTTTTACTGGAATTCGTCGGTGTCAAGCACCAAGTTCAAGTTGCTTCTTTCGGTGGCTCGCTCCCTCAAGCGACCAATATTCGCCGCTGCTATGCTGCGAATCTTCCAGAGTGCGTTTGCATGGTGTCAACCATTCCTGACATTCAGAGTGATCGACTACATTGGGGATCGTGATAAGGAGGACAAACGCTACGGCTATGGACTAATAGCAGCAACTGCCCTAGTTTACTTGGGGCTTGCTGTCACTAGCGCCATGTACAAGCACCAGACATTCCGAATGATTACTATGATTCGTGGGGGTCTCATCTCACTTCTCTACGACAAGACACTGAAGCTAGATATGGAAAGGCTTACGGATTCAGCAGCCATGACGCTCATGACTACGGATATAGATAGCATTGCCACCAATTGGATAAACATCCATGAAATCTGGGCGTCTCCTATTGATGTTGGTATTGGGGTCTATCTACTACAGCAAAAGCTAGGAATTGCATGCATCGCCCCAGTTGCTCTTGCTGTTCTTTCCATGCTAGGAAGCACTCAAATTGCAAAAGTGATGAGAGGACGGCAGCAACGTTGGTTGGAAGCGGTACGAAAGCGCGTCGGCTTGACATCCTCGCTTCTAACAAGCATCAAAGGCCTAAAGATGATGTCCATGACCGCCAGAATAGGCGGCAAAATCCAAGATCTACGGTCAGCTGAAATCAGAAAGGCAAAGTCCTACCTGAGAATCGAATGCCTCATGAACATTTGCGCAAATGTGTCAACGCTCCTATCCCCAGTTACGACGCTCCTTCTCTTTGCATTTTCGACAGCAAGCCACCCTTCTGATCAACTTACAAGCTCTTTGGTTTATTACACTCTCACAATCATTGCCTTGATGTCATCACCCTTAGCGCAGGCATGAAATGCGCTTCCAACCTTCCTAGCGTCCCTCGCATGTTTCACAAGGATTGAAAAATACTTGCAACTAGAGGAGAAACAGGACTATCGAGACGTTAAGCCCGGTCAACAGACACTAGATGTAAATCCCCCTTTCCTCAACTATCAAAAAGCCTCCCCTGATGCACAAGGGATTGAGCTGTGCAAGACTTTCATGATGGGTAAAGATCACATGGATTCAGATTCAACCAGTCATGTCTTTGCTATTCGGAACGGGCAGTTTGGCTATGATGATGACCCAGAAAAAGCTGTGTTGAAAGATATATGTTGGGAATGCCAACCTTGTTCCTTTACTGTAGTACTGGGGCCCGTTGGGTCGGGGAAGACAACATTACTAAAGGCACTTCTTAGCGAAGTGAGGTGTTACAAAGGGGCTGTTTCTATGACAGATTTAACCGCTTCCTATTGTGGTCAGGACGTATGGCTTCAGGATCTGTCTTTCCGAGAAAATATTCTTGGAGGACTTCCGTTTGATAGAAGGCTTTATGAGGACGTGGTGTTTGCGACTGGTTTGGATTCCGAGATCTCAAAATTCCCACAAGGTGATGGAACCAAAGTAGGATCCAAGGCAGTGAGCCTTTCTGGTGGCCAGAGCCAACGGGTTGCTGTTGCTCGGGCGATCTACGCACGCAAGCCACTGCTTCTCCTGGATGACTCTTTCAGTGGCTTGGATACCACATCTCAGTCTTTGATTGACAACCGTCTGTTCGGCCCAACTGGGCTTTTGAGAAAGGTTGGCTGTACCGTAGTTCTGGCCACACACAGCAGGCGGTACCTGAACAACGCAGATTCGGTCTTCATACTTAATAAGGATGGGGTGATCCAGCATCAAGGCCCTCCCAACCAGCTGAGATTGGTCAGAAGAACGTCAAACAAAGATATCGAAGTCCCGGGCAGTCATACAGAAAATGGGAGCAGCTCATCGCGAGATGCACAAGACGACACAACACCCTTAGCCTCAGCAGGCCAGAGTCTGTCCGAAGACTTGGCTCGGCAAAAAGGTGACTTTTCTATATACAAGTATTATTTGGCAAGTGTTGGCATTTTTAACCTATTAACCTACATTCTGTTAAATTGTTTCTTTGTATTTGTTCTCGTTTTGGGCAAGTTTGGGTCGGCTTCTGGGTCGATGCGGTTGAGGCAAGCCCGGGTCGGCACACTAATCTTGTGTACGCCTGCTCTTATGTCGCAATAATGGTGGGTGTCTTGATCATGTATGGGTCCGTTCTTTTCTTCATGTTCCAGGTGATTGTTCCTCGATCCGCTCGGAGGCTACACTCGGCGCTCATCGAAACCACGACACGAGCTCCCTACAGCTTTCACGCTGCCACCAACCCTGGTATCACATTAAATCGGTTTAGTCAAGATATAACATTGGTAGATATTGATCTCCCTTCAGCTGCTGTGCAATTCTTCTTGGATTGCTTCACTTGTCTTGGCCAGGCAATCCTAATCTGTACGGGTGCTAAATACGTTGCCGTATTCTTGCCGGTGATGATTGTCGCAACATATGATCCAGAAGGTCTATTTGCGGACATCTCGCCAGGTGCGCTTTTTGGACTTGGAGGCAAAATCACCTTTGCTCAGCCAGATGCTAGAGACTTACAGTGGAATTGTCACAATACGAGCTCATGGATGGGAACATCGATTCCAAGAGGATAATCTAGCATTGCTGGACATGTCACAACGACCATATTACGCACTGTACTGTATCCAGCGCTGGCTCAGCTTTGTGCTCTCGTTGCTGGTTGCCGTCATTACGGTTATTCTCGTAACCTTTGGGACCCAGATCAGAAATATCACATCTGGAAACGCAATGGGTGCAGCATTGATCAACGTTCTAAATTTTGCCCAGACACTGAGCAAACTCGTTGACGCATATACCAGTCTTGAGACATCTCTGGGCGCTGTTGGAAGGATTAAATCTTTCACATCTGATGTGACACCGGAGGACGATGCATTAGTGACCTCGCAGAGTCCACAGCTCTGCTCTCGCCCAGGCATCGGCAAGATCGAGTTCAACTCCGTCACGGCATCCTACAGGCATAGACTGAAACTAGTTCGTTTTCTGTTAAACGTAATTGAACTGACATTTCCTTGATAGTCCATTGTCCAGACCTGCTCTGAGCAATGTCTCGTTCTCTGTTGAGCCTGGTATGAAAATCGGCATATGTGGTCGATCAGGGAGGTAGGGTTTGAGCTTTCTTGGTTGAATTTTTATACCTCCACAAAGATGGCTGACCCATCTTGGCAGCGGGAAGTCTTCTTTGATTTTGGCCCTACTAAAAATGCTACCGCTTCGTAAGGGCGCCATATACATAGACGGTGTCGATATCTCCACCATGTCGTGTGATGCTGTACGATCGATATGCAACACCATTCCTCAAGCCCCCGTGATCTTCCCGGGAAGTATTCGACAAAATCTCGATCCTTTGCTAGTCCATTCCGACACAGAGCTACAGGCTGTTCTGGAGTCATTGGAATTATGGCAAATAGTGTCGTCACGAGGTGGCTTGGATTCCGATATGGATGCATCGCCTCTTAGTCATGGTCAGAAGCAACTACTTTGTGTCGGACGCAGCTTCCTTATGAATGGTGAGAAACGGGTCCTGATAGTCGACGAGCTCACGAGTAGCCTAGACCAAACGACAGAAACCTTAATATTGAAGTTCCTGGAAGAGAAGTTTAGCCAACATACTGTGTTGGCGGTGACGCATCGACTCAACACCGTCACTCAGTACGATCGTATTGCCGTCTTCGAATGCGGTAAACTAGTGGAGTGGGGAGAGCCAGGAAAGCTGCGAGACAGTGATCAGGGGCTCTTCAGGTCATTTTGGGCCAACTCAGAATAAGCACTGACAGGGTGGCAGCCTCTACGGCTGTCCAGCAATTCGTTCGTCACACTCTGTACATACCTTGGTTGGTTCTTATAACATAGGTGTCTTGAAGAAGGGTACCATCTAGAGCATAGACCATATGTACTAACCTGTTAGAGCCTAACTATTGAATGGCTGTCTAGCTATGCAACAATATATGGCTCCAGGAACGGAATATGTCGTTCACACAGCAACTTACAGAATCTTACAAGGCAGCTGTATGTATAATCACGGTCCAGATGGTGCAATATGTTAATGGTTGTTTCATTATTAAATTACTAATCGAAGTAACTTAGACCATATAGTGATCGGGCATTCTGGCCATCAACAGGGGTGTCGGTATGACCAGAGGTGTGAAAGTCTGTTCTGCCTAGTAATTTAGTTAGACATTCGCAGCAATGGCTAAGGCCTGCTGGCTTAATCTAATCTTCGAATACGTTTATATTTATGAGCAAATATGATTGTGTAAATCTAAGTATATGGAGAATCTATAGTCATTGTTGCCTTACCGACTGGCTAGGCAGTAAATGTACTAGTAGATACGACATGATCCAATCTCTCTTTAGTCTTGCCTCATGTTATCTCTCCGGTTACATGGGTCGGGCTACAACCCTTGTTGTTCCTTCCCTAGTGCTACCAATGGGCAAGTTCCGATGAGTGGACCTAAGATAAGAGTCGGATTTAGCGTGTTGTAAGGAGCTGCTTAGGGGACCAGTTCAAAAGTACGACCCAGGCATGGAATCCAGCACTCTCATATCGCCGCCCCAAACCGGACATTTTGATCACTCTCTGGCTTTCGCACCAAGTGATGTCACAATAGTCTGATGTCTCTTGGCAATGACAATATGCGGTCGAAGCGTGTGCTGCTTTTGCTCTACCTGACGGCCTTTCTGTTTTTCCTAGGAGAAAATATCCAACAAGCCCCACGAACCCAGATTTACGAAACTATTATCTGCCACCGTATGCTACCATGGAACTCGGGGGACATGCCAGCAAGGGAAAGATGCAAAAGCAAGGCTGTCCAAGAGGAATTGGCCTTCCTCAAGGGCACAGAGAGAGTATTTGGGGCACTACCGAGTACATCTTGAATAGCCCTCAAAGTGCTGTGTTTAATGCTTATGCTGACCGTTCAAATGTGACGTTGGGTAGCTGTTCTTGTGATTCCGTGGAGTATATTCGCCGAGCGATATGGCCGCTGCCTTTCCTTGAAATTAGCGTTACTTGGCGTCCTGTGTGAAGAGGCATGGAGCTGTCTCATCTGCTGGTTCTCAGACTCGGCCCCGATCCGCCTCATCCTGCTTGCGCCCTTATTCGAAGTCATTGGTGGTGGACCTGCCATCATCACCACTGTTATACATTTAATGGCCACCGAGGTGACCACGGCTGAAACACGGACATCAACCTTTTTTGCTATTCGCGCCATGGCAATTGCAGCGGCCATCCTAGCCCAGCTCGTGAGCTCGTTCCTTATGACTCTTAATGTATGGATGCCGTGGCTTTTAGGATTATTCTGTATTCTTCTCGCAGTGTTTGTCGTCCCGTGTGCACCAAACTCCTCCACCGAGAATTCCCTGAATGAGAACACCGTGCTAAACCCGGGACAACATAATGCGCGTGGTATGGGTACTTTGAGCCCCAAGGGATCCCTGAGCAGCAAACAGGCTAGAATTCGATCTCGTCTCGTCTTGGTGGCGAAGGAACTCCAGGAAGGTGCAAGGGTTGTCTACGGGAACTTTTTGCTCATCGTATTACTAGCGATGTCATTCCTGGGCGAGCTCTGTGAGGATTCGCTTGCCATGGTCTTGTTGCTTTACATTTCGAAAAGGTATGACTGGGAATTTTCTCAGGTATGTTTTGAGTCCATTCTCGCAGGGAGAATAAGAGTCAAAAAGCTGACATCATGGGCAGGCCAACTTTATATGGGCTCTCGGAGAGGCTGTGCAGTTTGTGTTCTTGATCATCCTTCTTCCGCAAATCAGTAGGATGCTCTTAGCTCGTTTTAAAATGAATGCATATGCAGCGGATTTTACGATATCCATTGCCAGCACAATTATGCTTAGTTTGGGCAGTTTACTACTCGGACTGGGCGTTTCTATACCTGTTGCCATCATAGGTATGCCTTCAATCTACTCCATGTCTCAGAACTATAAATCACTAAGCTGTACCCTTCTAGGAGTCATTCTGATGTCCACAGGGGGAGGACTTCAATCGGCACTGCGGTCTCTCGTGACAATGGTCATTTCTCCGGATGATATCAGTGTTGTCTACTCCATTTTCACTATCCTCCACGTCTTGAGCACTTCTTCAGTAGGCCCTATATATTCAGGTGCCTTTACTTTGGGATTGAAGTTCGGGACTGAGTACACTGGGCTTCCATTTATAGTGGCTTCCACTTTAGCTGGTCTATCCTTGCCACTGTTCTTGTTTGTTCGACCCCGCCATAACTATGAACCAGTACAGGAGGCTAGCGATTGAGGGTTTGGCCTTATGTATGAAGCTGGACGTACATATATCCAATGAGAATATTCACTTTTGATGAATTCACAGAGCACCAAAACAGTCCACTACATTGAAGTGACAGTGCAACAGGTCATTGGATTCAGGAAAATCTGCCAATAATTTTCTCCACTGCTCAACATCAGCACTAGTTCCGCCTCAGCCTGTCTGTTCCAGCTTCCCTCCCAGTGTGATAACGTCAGTCGGCCTTCCACCATATCATGATTCATCAGCAGATCCATCGCTAGTCTAAGATATCCGAGCTGGATCTAATACCTGACCTATCTTACTGCCAGGGTAGATAATATAAACATTTTCCTCTCTATTGTTACTGATATCTCTGTAGTCTAACTCGAATATCATATCTTAGCTACCTTCCTTAGAGTCTTATTCTATACATATTCCATCTTCTCTATATACCACTATATATTTCTACTCATAAATAAATACTTAGATAAATATATTTATAGTTACAGAATCCAACTGAAGATATGCTCTCAGACTCTTGCTTGCCATTGGCTATTTTAGAAACATTACAAACTAGAGTGATACTAGTTTCTAGAGAGCTAGTAATTCATTCCTTTGAACCAGTAAACTTGTACGGCTGGTTTAGATGTGTTAAACAACAGCGGTAAAAGGATACCAGTTTGATACTATCTCGAGTGCTACTTGCCTAAGTCATTACTGTTATCAATGGCTAAAATTCTCTCACCCCAAAACTGCATAACCCTCCAACCCCGCTGTGCCAAAGCCGCCGTCTCAGCGTGGCCACAATGGCTGATCTCCTCCAGACGCCGCCTCCAGAAGAGCCACCTGGCAGTGCTAAAACCGGTGTCCGGAACAACTTGCGCATCTCTAGCAAGATCACCAATCGCCGAAGACTCAAATCCCTGGGCCGAGAGACAAAGACTTTCGATTTTGTAGGCACACAGCTCAAACCAGGCTACCGCTGCTGGCAGCAGACCAACGATGGGCAGCAAATCACCGCCCTGTTGGTCGTTGGCTGCAATCAACGGCCTGTGTGTCTCGAACGTATCCCTGAAAATTGAAAGAGCACAAACGAACAATTCTGGGTCACAGATACCCCAAGCGCTGATACGGGCTATAAAGGCGCTGAGGTTATGCCGCTGTCGCGCTGGTAGCTCATCGGCCGTCTTCCAGGCCGCTTGGAACTCCTGCGCAAGGAAGGGCAGATCGACCCAGATCTTTCCATCAGAGGTCGATGCTTCCTCTTCAACTCCCGAGGCTTTATTACGGCGAGTCAACACGCCCATCCCTCGAGCGTGTAAGATCTGGCTTGCCAGGCGATCTTGGGCGGGGTGGTTGGCATCTGTGATTTTGGCACCTTGGATGATCATGTACCATAGTTCACGCATGTCATATTCGTAAAAGACTATTGGAAGGCCGGACCTAGTGTAACGACTGGCAATGTTTTTCGTAAATAGCCTGAATTGACGCCAGAAGGTGTTGTCGTTGTCATAGCCATATGTTTCCCGGTCAAGATCAATAGCACCTATATGATCAAGGCGGAATCTTTCTCGACTGCGTATCTGGTCTTCGAAAGTGGACATAGTGTGATATGGTCTAGGCGTTATGGGATCTATAGACACGGCAGGAGGATAGGTTTGTTTGTTCTTGTTTAAATACAATAGGGCAGGGGGGGAGCCTGGGACGGTGTCTTAGGGCTTTGTGTACAGGCAGCAACGTACGATTGTGTAGACCTAAGGCGGGGTCAACAGTGACCACTTCTACTAGGAACTGGTACAGGGGCTTTCTTATGCACGGTGTCATCTATCGTCTCCCTAGTGGGGTAGCTTGGTTTTTTACTCGGCTGTATAACTGTTATGAACCCTGGCAGACGCCACCATCAGAACAATAGCATTGATAACAATAAGCGGTGAACATATTGCGTGGCAGAATAAGTGGCGGAATGATTTTAATCATTAGAAGCTTCTCAGCCAATCACAACAGCATTGACTGGCATCATGATTACACATCAGATGAGCGGTTGCCTTCCTAACATAGTAATCGGATCGACTTCCAATTTTAGAGGTTTCCGACAACATCTCCACATATGTACTTGAGGCCTGGGGTAATTGCGAGCCATATAAAGTCGCAAAGACCCCATCGTAAAAATGAGGGGAAGCCAGATATTTCTATACTTTAAGCAGATCCGCACAAGATGGCAATGTCACGACTTCTCTCCCGATCAGCGGTTCGGGCTGCGTCCACTTCGACTTCCGCTCAAACCACCAAGGCGGCGGGAGATATTTCGAGCGTTTTCCCCAGTTTGAGACCAGATTACAAGCCAGAGCCTCTGCCACCGCGCTTCAAGGATCTAAAGTTGCAATACTTCGAGAAAAATGAAGACGCGCTGAAGAAAAGCTGGAAGAGACTACTGCCCAGCTTAGAAGAGGAAGTTGATAAGATCAAGTCAAAAGGAAGCGATGTATGTTTTCTATGTTTTAAGTGGTGATAGCTTTTGCGGGGCTGCGTCGCTAACTTTACGCCAGATTATTCCTTCCGTGGATTACGCGGACGTTGTCTCTGGAAATGTCCCAGAGAAGGTCCTGGCTGAAATCCGTCATCGCGGAACCGTAGTAATCAGAAATGTGCTACCCCGTGGAATGGCTCGAGAGTACAAGGAGCGCGTTGAGGACTATGTTGCTGCCAACAAAGAGCGTGTGAAGGCTTTCCCACCAGATTCGCCTGCAGTATACGAGTTGTATTGGACTCAATCACAGGCGGAAGCCCGGGCGCACCCTAACATGCTCGATACACAGCGCTTCTTGCAGCGTTTGTGGCATTCATCTGACCCCAAAACAAAAATTTCTACTCGAAACCCTCTCACATACGCCGATCGACTCCGGATCCGCATGCCTGGTGATTCCAAGTTCACCCTTGGCCCCCATATCGATGGTGGCTCGCTCGAACGGTGGGAAGACCCTGAGTATTCCCGCGTTTATAGCAAGATCCTCGAGGGTAAATGGGAAGAATACGACCCATGGGACGCAAAGCATCGCGTCTCGGCCAAGATGGACTTGTATAACGGTGCCGGCGCCTGCTCCATGCTGAGGTTTTTCCAAGGATGGCTGTCCATGTCCCAAACAGCCCCAGGCGAGGGCTCGCTACATGTGTGTCCCATGATTGTTCACAGCACCGCCTATACCATTCTCAGGCCATTCTTTGATACGCAAACACTGCAGCCCGCATTGGATGCCACTTTCCCTGGATCTGTCCCTGGCGCTTGCCAGGAATACAACCCCGTCACCCACCCACACCTGGAGCTTGAAAGCACTATGGTTTCGGTACCTGAGGTGGAACCGGGTGACTATGTCGCTTGGCACTGTGACTCTCTGCACTCTGTTGATAAGGAACATCAGGGCAAAGGAGACTCGAGTGTACTCTATATCCCTGCCACTCCTATGTGCGACATGAATGTGGATTATCTGCTCAAGCAACGCGAGGCAGCTCAAACTTACTCCCCGCCTTGGGACTTCCCAGGTGCTGGTGGACCCGGTGAGAGCGGCTTCAAGGGTGCCCTTGACTGGAACTCGCTCAATCCTGAGGGCTTGCGTGCTATGGGCCTAGGCAATACGCGATGGGAGGTTACCTCTGACATGAGTGAGGGCGAAAAACAGGTTGTTGAAGCTGCTAACAAGACATGCTTTGGTCAGTCATGAAGGGTTGGATTATTTTCTCGTTTTTCTCCAATTTTGTTTAGTGAATATGTTGGTGTCATTTAGGCGTATCGGTGGCCGCATCAGTTACCATCAGCGGGTTATATTATATAAATCGAAAGAATTGCATTATCTAGACAGCGAAAGTACGCAGTATCGGTAGCAGTTGGAAACTTGGAATGGAATACTAGTAGTAAAAGCTAGGCCTTTGAAGTGGTCAGTTTGATGTGTTTGCTTTCCTCAGTTCATAGCTCCACTAGCGTCAGTTGAGATCACCGCCCGCAGCCTTGACCAACAGGGAATCCCGAACAACACTACAGCAGGTCGTACTGTCATTTCTAATTTATCCTTTGCGACCCCCCATGACCAGTTTTCTGTTGAGGTAATAACCATGCGGCTACAGGCGACGCTCCTTCTGCTCGCCTCGTGCGTTCCCTCAGCGCTGGCTATCTATCGCGACGAGGTCGACCATATCGATTTCCACCATGCTCTACTCGGTCCTGCTTCGTCCCATTCGACCTTCTTCCTCAAGCCTTCGTCCTCCTCTGATGCATCCTTACTCTACACTTTGTCCGAGAAATTGCTCCTTGGTGCCGTAAATCCTAGGGATGGGTCCGTGGTGTGGAGGCAGAATGTCTCCCGATCCGCTGCAGCCGCTGACAGCGGCCTCTTACGTGCTTCCGACGGGACCAATGCCATGGTTAGCGCAGTGGGCGACTATCTGTCATCATGGAGCGCTCTGGATGGTAAATTGATTTGGGAGAGCTGGTTTTCCGATGGACATGTGGCAGACCTTGAGCTACTAGAGCTAGAGGATGCTGCCTCGCCTTCGGCCGTTAAAGACACGATTGCGCTTTTCGGAGGTAAGGCGGGGGTTGTTAGAAGACTGGATGGAGATTCGGGCAAGGTCAAATGGGAGTATAAAGATGAAAGGTTCGACCCCAGATAGTCTCGTTTGTCATCTCCAGTGCTGATGTTTGGTGGGCACACATCTAGTGGCGATCTCCCTTTCCAAGTCTCGTCCTCCTCCACCGACGTTTTCTATATTTCTCTGCAATCCGCTCTTCTGAAGGGCTATAAGATCAAGGTTACATCTATGGACCTTTTGACCGGTCGTCAGAACCAACAATTGACTTTGAACTCGGAAGGTGACATTTCCGGGCCCGAGTCTGTGCTTTTCGTGGGCGCAAACACCGCCTCCCCTCTGATTGTCTGGACAGATAAGGCTCAGAAAGCACTCAAGGTCAATGTTATTGGTACGAAGCAAGTGAGCGCCATCAATATCGACAACACCAGTGGCGAGGAGCTTCGTTCAGTCACTGTTCATGCTCCAAAGAAACTCAACTCGTTGCCCCATTTTCTGGTTCACTACCAGACACAATCCACATCCTGGGCTGAGGTGTACCACGTCAACTTGAAATCCGCAGTTGTATCCAAGGCCTACGATCTGCCTCGCTTGGAAGGCTGGTCTGCCTTCTCTACAAGCACCAAAGATGCGAATGTTTACTTTACCCGGATCACGCAGTCGGAAATGACTGTTGTGTCTTCTGCTTCTCATGCTATCTTGGGGAGGTGGCCTCTTCAGTCGCCTCCGATGGAGCGCGCACTACATGCAGTGTCGGAAGTTGTCCCGAAGGGCGACAGCGTCGCGGTACGATCGGCTGCTGTTTTGGAGTCGGGTGACTGGCAATTACTCCGAAATGGCCAACCTGAATGGACTAGATACGAGGCTTTGGCTGGCGCTTTGGCTGCCAATTGGGCTGAGGAGGAATACCAGGAGGAGTTGGCTCACCAGCTTGAGGTTGAAGGTCATGAGAGCATTTTCGCAGCGTACGCGCACCGTGTCAGGCGCCACATCAAAGACCTCGAACATCTTCCTGAGTGGCTACAAGACCTGCCCAAGCGCATCCTTACCAGTTTCTTGACCGACGAAGTTTCAAACCTGGATAGCTTCGGCATCTCCAGACAAGTTATCGTTGCTACTGAGAATGGGCGTGTCTATGCGCTCGACGGCGGAAACCACGGCGCTGTTTCCTGGAGCGTGAAAGCCGCGGAAGCAGAAACCTGGGCTCCTATCGCAGTAGTCACCCAACCAGGCCTTGCCACTGTCTACACAGATGATGGCAGCTCGGTTACATTGAACGTCGCCTCTGGAGAAATCATCAAGCGGACTCCGGCTACTACCAAGCTCCGTTCTGTCGCGGTGCTCAACGACCCTCCCGCGCCCCTCGTCGTTGGGATTAATGAGAACGGTGCTCCCGTAGAGTCTACTGATCGTCCTGGATTCTTTGTCACGCTCGGCAATAGTCGCGTGCTGGGCTGGAGCGCCAACAATAACAAGTTCCCCGTCTGGGAATTTCTGCCCCCACAAGGCGAGAGAGTCATCCATGCCACCTCCCGACCAGCTCATGATCCTGTCGCATCGATTGGCAAGGTTCTGGGCGATCGATCAGTGCTGTACAAGTATCTGAACCCTAACTTAGTTCTTGTCACCGCCGTGGGCGATAACTCGGCCACATTCTACCTGTTGGATGCGGTTTCTGGCAAGATTCTACATGCTAGTACCCAAGACGGCGTTGACACCACCCAGCCTATTGCCTCGGCCATGTCCGAGAACTGGTTCGCATATTCTTTCTGGGGTGATGCCGTCAACCCATCGGATGCTAAGGGCTACCAGTTGGTGATTTCAGAGCTATATGAGTCCTCGATACCTAATGACCGTGGGCCACTGGATGCCGCATCCAACTACTCTAGCTTTGACGCACTGCCCCTGCCACATGTAGTGTCCCAGTCCTTCATCATCCCTGAACCAATTTCCCACATGGCCGTTACCCAAACCCGTCAGGGCATCACCACCCGCCAACTCCTTTGCACACTCCCCTCGACAAATTCCCTTGTTGGCATTCCTCGCCCCGTATTGGACGCCCGCCGGCCCATTGGCCGCGACCCGACCCCTACGGAGGTCGAAGAAGGCCTATTCAAGTACAGCCCCTTCCTTGAATTCGATGGCAAATGGTACCTCTCTCACACACGCGATGTGGCTGGCATCAAGAAAGTTCTTTCAGCACCAACACTTCTCGAGAGTACTAGTTTGATTTTCGGCTTTGGTGGCGATATCTTTGGCACCCGAGCGACACCCAGCCAGGCTTTTGACATTCTGGGCAAGGGATTCTCGAAGTTGCAGTTGCTTATGACCATTGTAGCACTGACAATTGGAGTGGTCATCCTGTCTCCGATGGTATGTTTCCTTCCCCCTTTCGTGGAATTGACTGGTCGTTAACGTTTTATCATAGGTCCGGAAAAAACAGGTCAACCAGGTTTGGAAGGCATCGTAGTCGCCTGTGGGAACATAGAAGACGAAAGATGAACTAGAACATAAATATATCAATAATGACATAGCTACCAATTCAGTTGTAAACTACGACGGGCGTTCAATAAACCTACATTCATTCTCCGGACTATAATATAGACCCTGCGGTGAGGAATAATTAGACAGGGATTCAAGCAGTCCCCCTTGATCAAGGTAATATTACTTCAGGGTTTATGGGTCTCTATAGGATTGGACAGGTTTGGCTCTAATGAAATTGACAAAACTCTAAGAACGCCAGCTTCGCAAATTACATGTCGGCGGCTGAGAGATACGAACACGATTTGCAACGGCGGCGGGGGACAACCCAGAAGGCGCTCAATGGTGCAGCTTTGGGTATTCTAGGCCGACACTTAGGATTTCTCACCATGAACAGTTCTGTTGGTTGACTGCTGTTGCTCATCGCATGGGCCATCCTATCTAACACAAATACTATTTTCTTGGGTTTGCCCTCAGCTGACGAGAAAAGCCCTATCCTATCAAATACCCACTCGACAAGGCCAAATCCCCGCCTAGTCCTGCAGAATCCCAGCTTGATCCAATCGGAAGAACACAACCCAGATCTTCTTGATAGAGAACCGGATTTTACTCGGAACTGGGCTGGTGGCGGTCGATAGTCTGGGAATCTTGCTTATTCGGTGTAAACGCGTCTAAAACTTACATTGGACTGCAGATACTAGACTGATATTGTACGTTGATTGGAGAGGTTCTTCTTGTCAAAGTTTGAAGAAATATGACCTGTTCCCACTACGGGGTACTACATCAACAAAGTAAAATATTACAAAATTTACCAATTATCAATGCACTGTATACAGATATTAGCCGAGTTGATCGATCTACTATGTACTACTCCATACTCCGTATATGATCTACCAATTAGAATAGGCTATATATATATATATATATATGGATCATCAGGTATCTACGCTTTTCAAACCTTCTAGCTTAGGCACCGTGGCCCATATATTTCGGGGTTATCATCGCTATCTTGGGTATCCCTAAGCTTAGATACAACTGCTACTGCTACTATTATAGTAAGATCCTTAGTTTAGGTATAAGCTCTAATAAACAATCTTAGTATGTTATCCTATAGAATAATATATTCTACAGAGTACAGTAAAGTGCGTGGCTTACTGAAAAACGCTAAGGTTTCGGTATAACATGGCGACTGTCTCGATTGAGTCCCACTGAAAAAGATCGCTTACGGTCGTGCGTTCCTATATTTGGAAGGGATCGTCTGATCTATCCTGGACAATATGTTATAGATATATAGGTCTCCCGAGCTACACGACGCGAGCATGCAGCTAGTGGCCAGCCGGCAATTGGTTTAAGAACGCTTGTGCTGCCGGGTCTGGGCCCTTCCTGTTATCTGTCTCTGCTATATCCTGTGCTGCGCAATTGAAACCAAAGTGCATCCAGGTCAACGACCTACCATCTACCAAAATGTCTCAACCCTACCACACTTTAACCAAGTCCCTCACATTTCCCAATCTAGACCAGTATCAATGGTGGCAGCAAGCTGGGCCAACTCTGTCCAAGCTGCTCTCCACAGCCAATTATCCTATCGACCAACAATACCAATACCTCCTCCTGTTGGGCCTACACATCATCCCCATGCTGGTCCGTATCCTTCCTCCCAGCGACCGGGACTCTACAAGAGCCCCATAGGCGGAATCGGCACCCTCGAATTCAGCCAAAACTTCACCAAGGACAAGAACACGGTCCGGATGGGGTTCGAGCCGGTGCACTACATGGCGACAACTGGACAAGACCCGTGTAACCAGCTCATCATGAACGAGGCAGTAACAACGTTCAAGCGACTGGGCGCTACCATGGACTTATCGCTCTACCATTCCTTGGTAGCGGGGCTTACCGTCTCCGACACGGAGCTGGCCATTCTTCGAGAGAAAGATGAGCTGAATAAACAGCCAACAAAGTCCCAGCATGTCTTCGGAATCGACATGAAGGGAGGGGACGTGTTGGTCAAGGTCTACATTTATCCGCAGCTCAAGGCTCTTGCGCAGCAAGTACCCGTGTCGGAGCTGATCTTCTCTGCCTTGGACAAGGTCGACCACGGTAAGTTGGGCGAGAGCGGGTGTCTTTCTGTCATGAAGGAGTTCATTGCAGACGAGAGTGTGAACCCGGCGACGACTCCCGTTACCTTTTTGGCCTGTGATCTGCTGGAGCCTAGCCAGGCTCGGGCCAAGGTCTACATCGCCGAGTTTCAGTTCGACTTTGAGACGCTCTCCCGGAACTGGACCCTTGGCGGGAGGTTGAACGACCCCGAGACCATGAAGGGGCTGGAATTGCTCCAGGAACTCTGGACGGCGTTCGACCTCCCCCAGGGACTGAGGGAGCCTCCTAAACCGGGCGACTCGCCGGCTCGGCTGCCGTTCCTCTACAACTTTGAGATGCAGTCGGGGAGGAAGTACCCGAAGTCGAAGATTTACTTTCCCTTGGCGGATGTGAATGATCGCGACATTGCGAATGTGCTGGAGGCGTTCTTTGAGAAACATGGATGTGCTGGATTGGCAAAGTCCTATACGGAGAATTTGTTGCAGTATTTGTGAGTGCACTTCCGTCCCTTTTGGTAGAGAATATGCTAACGGCTGTAGCCTGGTGTTGATATCTCTGAGTGTGTTACGTTGCATGCATGGTTGTCGTTCTCGTACTCGGAGAAAACTGGCCCGTATATGACGGTTTACTACCAGTGGCCAGACAGCTTCAACCAGTCCCATTTGACTGCGGGTAGCTCCTAGTGTGGTCTTGATGAGTTCCTGTGCTTAGAATGCGGCCTTATTGGCTTTTTTGCCCTTTCCATAGTAGCTAATGAACATGAACTCGCCGCGGAGGGGTATTCCAGGGTATGAATCTAGGCTGGTGGCTCGCAGTCCCTAATGTTTGTGTTATGGTCGTCATTCTTAACGGGATACCTCTAGATCAGTATCTTATCCCATTTAATTTGAGAAACAAGTAGACAGTAAGGCATGTATGTCACCCTTATTTGCTAGACTTCAACATCTGTCACACAGCCCATCTCCATATAAAATGATGCTCTCTGTATTCAAGCATAGTCTATTATTATAGCAGCGACTTTGCCCAAAACATGGCGTTCATATCTCAGAACCCTATCTCAGAACCTGGTCACTACTATGTCCACGTCTTCAGCATAACCAACCACAATATCACCACCTTCCTTACCCTTTCAGCCAACAAAATGCAATCACCGGAAACAATTATAGACAGATCTATGCCTCAATCTCGAATCCACGACGGGAAAACAGTAAGATCCTAAGAAACATATGCAAAAAGAGCCTCAATGGTCAAGTCCCACTCGTCTCGGGTTAAACCTGACGGCTCTCGGAATGAACCTACTACAAGTGGCCATCGGAATACCTTCAGCCGGTATTCGGAATGAAAACCCCTGACTCCGACATCTGGTTCAGTCCGAGCTGTGCAGTCCAACTGAACTCCGACATACACTTGGAAACCTTCCATTTTACAATGTGAATCAATGTTTCTGCGCTGCTCGTTATGAAGTAGTGGGTTACCTTGGGCACGTTAAAAGATACCGAATCCAACCCCGTCGGAGTTAGTCCAACCTCCAATGCCGAGCCCCAGGCAGCACGATTCAGTTATGTTTTCGGAGATCATAAGTGCCCATTGAGTTTTATCAACTCAACTGATAGGCCAGATGAACAAATAACAGGGATTAATTCCTAGGTAGTGACGTGATAGGGCAAAGAAGAGTCACGTTAGATAAGCAACTAGTTTGCTGGCTGGGTTGACCGTCTTTACTCTTGGTGCGCATTCAGGATAATCCATACATCTACAGACCATCTGTCATGGTCTCTAGTATTATTCTGAATCAAGATGTCGACTCCAGAGCCCACGCCCGATGCAACCGAACGCACGCCACTCCTCTCCGCCAGCGCAGATGGCGCAGCGGACGACGAAGGGGCCATGTCGCCGCCTACAGATGGGCTGAGAAGAATCGCAGATTCACTTCCCCTCTCAGCGTGGCTCGTTGCGACCATCGAGCTGTGCGAAAGATTTGCTTTCTTCGGGACCATGGGGCCCATGCAGAACTACCTCCAGTACGCTAGAGACGACCCTCTGCGCCCTGGTGGAATCGGTACGTGTTAATCCAACGTATCTATCTATACTATAGCTCTGTCTGACGTGACTAGGGCTGGGACAAGCGTATGCCACGATGGTGAACCAGGGCTTCTTGCTGTGGTGTTACATCACCCCAGTAATGGGCGCTATCGTTGCGGAACAGTACCTCGGGCGAGTGAAGACCATCATCCACTCTTCTGCGATCTACATCTGCGGCTTGGCCATGCTCTTCCTGTCCTCGTTGTCACTTGCCCAGGACTTAGGCGTGTCGCTGACTGGTCTGCTGGCGGCCCTGTTCTTTATCGGCCTCGGTGCCGGCGGCATCAAGGCGAATGTCAGTTCGCTGATCGCAGAGCAATATACCGGTCCCAAGGAAGCCAAGCGCGTCTTGGAATCAGGGGAAGAGGTTATCGTCGACAGGGCTCTAACAATCGAAAGGTACGTGTCTCATCCCCAATAACCTCCGACCAAAAGTCAGCCCTAACACCGCACCAAGGATATTCTCCACCTTCTATCTATTTACCAACATAGGCTCCCTGGGCCCTCTCCTCACAACAACAATCGAGCAGAAGCACGGCTTCAGCGCCGCATTCAGTCTCCCAGTGCTAGTCTTCCTCATCGGCTTCACAGTCATCCTAGCCAGCAAAGACCAATACGTCAGCAGACCGCCCGAAAGCTCCATCGTCTTCAACGCATGTCGAGCATGCTGGATCGCCATCAAACACAAAGGGAACCTCGACTACGCAAGACCCAGCTACCTCGCCGAAGCAGCATCACAATCCGAAGCTGAATTAGAAACACACTCAACCCCCCTCCCCTGGAACGACACCTTCATCGACGACCTCCGCAGCGCCCTCTCCTCCTGCAAGATCTTCCTGCTGTACCCGATCTACTGGGCCGCGTACACGCAATTCCTAACCAACTTCGTCTCGCAAGCGGCGACCATGAAAACCCACGGCATCCCAAACGACATCATGCCCAACATCGACACCGTGACAGTACTCATACTCCTGCCCCTCGTCGACCGCGCGGTGTTCCCCTTCCTACGCCGCCACGGCATCCCAGCGCGCCACGTGCACAGAATCACCGTCGGCTTCATCCTCATCGGCACGTCCATGTTCTACGCCTCCTTCGTCCAACGTATCATCTACGCCGCGCCGCCCTGCTACGACCGCCCGCGCGCCCCCGATTGTCTGGGCGGCCGTGTCCCGAACCAGGTCTCCATCTTCGTCCAGGCCCCGGCGTACATCCTCGTCGCCGGGTCGGAGATCCTGGCTGCCGTGGCCGGTATCGAGTATGCGTATACGCAGGCGCCGCCGTCCATGAAGTCGTTGATCATGGCGGTTTATCTGTCGGCGACGTCGGTGGGCGCGCTCTTGGCGATGACCGTTTCGCCCTTGACGGTCGATCCGTTGTTGTCTTGGTTGTATGTTACTCTGGGGATGGAGAATTGGCTGGCCGGGGCCGTGCTTTGGTTTGTTGCGGGGTGAGTGGGTTTGGAATAGCTGTGTATGTGGAGTGGTGGGTTGGATTGTAGATTGCGTTGTAGACGAGTTAATAGTGGTGGAGTTTGGTGGTTGGGTACACGTAGCGTCTTGTTTGGTTTCATATTGCTTTCGTATAGTAGCATGCTTGACTAGTTGTTGTATGATACAGCTGTATATATAGTGGCTGGACCTTCTATACGAATGCACACACGTCCGAAGAAATAGAGATCGAGTTCTGGAAAATGCTCCAGTGAGAACCCCAGTATGTATCTTGACTAATGCAGTAGTAGTAGTAGTCAGGTATAGAAATAAATCCGAAAATCTAAGTGATAAACCAATCAGAGGCTTATGACAAAACGTGAAAAATAGACACCAAATGATCAAAGATGACTCGTCTAGACATGCAATATCTAGTCTTAACCATGACGCCAATTTTCAGAGACACTGAAAGAAAAACAAAAATTATAAGTATGTGAAAACAATCATCATGTAGAATGGAAAGGCATTTAAGCAGCGACGTCTCCGTTGCTGGTCTTCTCGGTAGTGCCATTCTGCAGGTCGAGCTTCTCATTGACCTCGGCGGCGAGAGCATCGTCCGACTTCTGCTGCTCCGAGGCTGAGGTCGACTCAGCCGCTTGCGCTACCGGCACGGGAACGCTGCTCTTTCGGCTCTCGCCGTTCACCTTACCCAGGACCTCGACATGATCCCCCTTGAACAAGACAGGGCCCTTGATGAAACTGGGTTTGCTCTCTCCCTCGGCGGGAGCAGTCTCCAGCCCGCCGACAAGTTTCCGGGCCTCGTCGTCAAGGTTGGGCATGTCGCCCCATTGCCAGTCTAGCTGGCCGCCGTACTGCTTAGGGATAGTGGTCGGGTCCATGAAAGAACTGAGGGTAGGCAGGACCTCCGCAGAGGAGAGGATAAAGATCTTAGAGGTAGTGACGGGGTCAAACCAGCGCTTGATCCAGCCCCAGACGGTTGGGAAGAAGGAAGGAGCTCCAATGATCTTCGCTGGTTAGCACGACTCCATAAACCAACTACACAGGTGGGAGGGGCTCACAAAAATGCGGTCTAAGGTCTCCGGGTAATGCGCCGTAGCCAGAACACTCGCGTCCTGCATGTGACCCTTCAAGTTCCAGAACTGCTTCAAACCAACACCGCTGACATCGACAATGTTGTTCGAACTCACGATGGGCGTGTCGGGATGCGGGCGGGACAATTGGGAGCACAAGGGCATGACAAACCGGAGGAGGTTCTCATAGAGAGCAAAGAGACGCAAGAGACGCTGCGGCACTGTGGAGGACTTGTGCGTTTCCGCCGTCGCGGAGGGATCGGTCATGGTAGAGTTATAAGCGGCCATGTTCTTGCTGTTCAGGTGCCTGATCTCGAACACGTAAACGGGGATACCACGGCGGTCCCGGCGACCTGTCCATTGAGGGTACTGTGTCGCATTAGCCATTCAACGCCCCTGGCACAAGACACGCAGGTCAACCAACCATCCTCCTCGCGGCGTCATACGACTCCACATCGATATTCTCGTACAGAGACTCGATGGCATTCTCCTTGCGCCAATCCTCGGTGTCCTTGAATTGGCCCCAAGCGCCATTCACGTCGAATTTGCGGGCGCGCAGGAACCGCCTAAAAAAAATGCCCCGTCAGTGCCATACACCCCGCAGGACCCAAGCAAGACCAACAACATACAGTATTGTCGCATCATCATGGCTCGCCTCCGCCTGGTCACTCGCGGATTTGTAGTATCCATTTTCTTCACATAGTTTCTTAAACTCCTGCAGCTTCTTCTCCTGATCCTCGGTGAGATGGTTCAAATGTCCGGCCAGCCATTCCGTCCCCGCCGCCTGAGACGCGACGCAACGGGGTCGTTCTTGGGATCGCTTTCGAGCGCGGCGTTGTCGCTCTCCTGGCTGGATTTCGACCCCCACAAAGGCATCTTGTTCGCTTTAAAGATTTGTGCTCGACTGGAGAAGTTAAAAAAGGTGTTTCGGATCGTTCGGATGAACGAGGGATTAATTGATTGATTAATTGACGCACGGAGCACAAAGATCGTCGTCTAGCACGGCCGATTTCTGTTCCTTTCGCTCGGGTGCGGAACTCGATCTGAAAATCCTGTTCAAGCCCCAGACGGTAGTAAGGAGGGCGGAGATGTGAAAGGATAGGATTGGGGGTGCAAAGCACTACGCGATGACAAACACGACAGGGATCGGAGAATTCGTGACTTGGACTGTCACAATGAATGACTTTGGGACTGCAGCAGTCGGGGGTCGGGCATTGGTGACTTTTTAGTCCCGCTTATGTCAGAAATTAATGCATAAACCCTGCATCCCGCGGATCGCAATTCCATGGGGTAAAAATCCCCCCAACTTTTGGTATTCATTCATATTCAAAACCTGGTCGACTAGTATGCTATAGGATAACAGGACCAAAAGTAAAAGAGAGAACATAATACACCGCCCGTTTCCTGTGAGTCATTGTAGATTACCTGCAAATATTTATACACAAAAATCCCCCTTCCTGCATAACCTCTAGAACTAGATGTCCCAGTAACGCTTTTTTAGTCCTCGGTGAGGTCACCGTACTCCCACATACCGCGTCTCTCATGCTTCGCCTCGTCCTCCTGGCTACGCAGGTGTGACAGCGTCTCCGCGGCAGAACGTTCCCAAGCCTTCAGCTTTCTGGGTACCATGGCGAGACCCTCCCGCACGAGGTCAGCATTGATGCTGTGGTCCAAGTTCTTGGACTCGGTGGGGTCCATCAGAGTAACGTGCAGGGTTCCCTCGGGAGAAACGTAGTCCACGTTCGCCACAAGCTCCCGGTTGTAGAGCTGCTCTTCCAGGAACTCGGCAGCATCCTGCAGGTAGTCACCGGAGCCAGGGAGCTGAGCCATGGAGAGAACCGCGTCCACAGCCTGGGCACGGAGTTTCTGCACGGAGAACTGAGGCTGGCTCAAGGGCCTGAGACGAGACCAGGGAAGAACCTCGGAATTACCGAAGTCGATGTAGAGTACCTCGGCCTGCTGTTTCTCACGGTCATTGCGGCGCACCTTAGCGCGGTACCACTCATTATCCTCAGTGAACTTGGCGGCGACGAGATCACCGGCCTTGGGAGGGCCAGGCAATGGTGTGTCATTCGCCTTGTTCAGGTGGAATGAGCGGAATGCATTCATCAGTTCCGTGAGCGCAGAGGTGCCGGTGCCAATCTGCTGGATCTTCAGGCGGCCATTGGTGGGGTCAACGTAAGTAACCATCACATCACGGTAATCCTTGCGGCGCTGAGAAGCCTCATCCGCGGCGTTGGTGTCAGTGGTCTCCTCTTCTTGCTCCTCAACATCCTTGCTAGGATCCCAGTCATGCCAGAGTCCTTTGCGAGCTTCCTTGGCCCTTTGCTCCGCCGCGAAGTACTCGGTGGCATGTCCGGACTGTTCTGCAGAGTAGGCATGAACAGTAGCAAAACCTTCCTCGAGAAGGACCTTGGTGAAGTTCTCCTTGTTGACGTACAGAGTGCCGATGAAGCCACCAACCTTGTCGATTGTCTCGACGTCGATTTCGACATCACGCTGCATGCAACGCCTGTTGGCTAGGTCATGTGCTTCCTGTCCAAAAGGTTCAGACGCTTCATTGGGGTTACGGGCCGACCGAGGCGCGCGAATACCCGAGAGGACGAGGGTTAGCTTGGCGTTCTCACGAGGCACAAGAACGGTGAAACGAGAGCCCGACTTGACAAAGTCCACGACAGCCGGCACACGCTTTTGCCGCTGGAGGATGGAAACTTCCATCTTGGCCTTCTGGACGCTCTCCGAGTAGTCCTGGTACTGCTTTGTCTTGGGTGGCTTCGGAGACCACATTCCCTTACCATCCTTCTGAGCATCAGCCTCAGCGATCATCAAAGAATCATAGTCGGGGGAGCGGTCGTCATCATCCTGACGGTGACGGATCACAGAAGCGTATCCGGCCTCCACAAGAGCCAAAGCAATGTTGGTATTTCCCTGGATGACAGTGGCAACGTCCCTTTCTTCGTATCCCTCGGTAGCAGGCTTCTTGCCGTTGATGGTCACCTTGACATGCTTTCCGATGAGCTTCTTACGGGCAAACTCCTTCGCATCGGCCGCGAAGGGTGCCTGCTTTGGGTCAGAAGGCTTAGGCTGGCGAACACTGCTCAGGCTGATCTTCTTTTCCTGGCCAGCCTTGTTTCTCAGGAACAGGGTATCGGCATTCAACACACGGCTAACAATATAGTCCTCGGCGGCCCCGCCAGCAGGACCCTTTGGAGCGACAAGACCGGTAAACAGACCCTTCCGAGCATCCTTGGCGGCCTTCTCCGCACGGCGGAAATTAACCATATCAGCACCGAGAAGGGGAGCGTGCAGATCGTGGCAACGGGCCAGGCCCTCTTCCAGAAGGAACTTGGCAACGTTACCATTGGGATGGAGAACGGTTGCGATCAATTGACCCTGTGGCGTAACACCCAGGAGAGACACTTGGACCTTACGCTGCTGCAACCGGGACTCGACGAACTGCTGTGCATCATCTCCGAACGGCTCAGCAGGCTGCTCCTTCCCCTCGGCGTTCACCCGTCGGGCAGCTGGCGCCCGGACACCGGCGACAGCAACCACAACCTGCAGGTGCTCCTGGGGAGTAAGAAGCAGGCGAAGGACCAGCCTATCCCCGTTCAAGACTCTCTCGACGATAGCCTCCAGGGGCTTGTTTTTATATTCCTCGACGAGGGCCTTTCCATCGGAAAGTTCATAGGTGGTCTCCGTGTAGCCCTTGTCGGCTCCGGCCCAGACACCCTTATCTTCGGACTGAGCGTGCTCCTCTAAAGCGCGCAAACGCTGTAACAATGCAGCGGTCTCTTCGGACTCGTCGCCACGTTTACCGGCTTCCTCGCGGACGCGGACCCATCCTTCCTGGACGCTAATGTCGGGCAACAAGACTTCGAAAGTAGGGAGCTTGATTGTACCGTAATCGCGTTTGGCACCGGTAGGGATGGTATATAGGACATTGAATTGGACGACCTTTCCTACGAGCAGCTCACGAAGGAATTCGCGGGATTGAAAAGCATAGGACTGTAAGAAACCAGAGTTAGCGAGATCTCCCTCAAACCCTTCCCATAGATACTCTTGTAACAATAGGGAAAGAAAGTATAAAGGTGAAGGATGGCTGTTAGTGTAGTAGAAGTGGCATTTTTGTCAAAATTGGAGCTCGGCACTCGGAGATAGAGGCCACCTATCCTGACCCCAAACAAACGGAGGGGGGCAGCAATTGGGGAAACACCACGAAGAAAAATCCGCTCACCTCATCGCCTTCTCTGCGCAACCTGGGCGCTGAAACATATGCCAAGCTCAAGGTGCGTTCCTGTCCTGGGTTGGTGATATGCGACAGCACAACGGTGTCGCCGGACAGGACAGATTTGACGCGGGCTTCCAGAGGCATACTGGGAAGCAACCAATGATAAGACAAAATAAAAGATTGACGGCACTGGAGGGAACCAGTGTGGGGAGACAATCAATCCTGGCTTTTAAGCAAGAATGGAAAAATAAAAAATTGGAAAGAATGAACCGAGAAACAGCAATCACAGCAGTAGCAATGGATTGCCCAAAGGACGGGTTTATTGATAGGGGGGGAAGGCGTTTGGGGTAGGCAAAGAGAAATGAAATGTGGTTGGAAGGGGAGCTTCCAGACTAGTCCAGGCGGACACCTGACTTTCGCTGGTTTTTGTGGGGGGAAGAAAACAGTCTGGCCAAAGGGAGATTGTCTTCATTTCAACCAACTGAACACTAGTCCTATTCGAGGAAAATCTACTGGTGCAAGGGGAATACATAATCTAAATCATATCGAATAAAAATTCAACTCGTGTCATCATTCCTATACAATTTCTAGAATTGAATTCGCCAGGACCAGAACCTCCTATCAGTCCTCCAGGAACCGCATAGAAGATCCGTCCAGATCAACTTTTCAGCATCGCGCAGATACCTCCCAGTTTCACTTGCAGACTGTTCCAATTCTGATCCAGCACTTCATATCCTAGATTGGACTAGAACTATGGGTTTAAGCAGCAATGCCAATGACACCTAAACACTATTAATATATAATTCTGCGTTAGGTCTCGCCAACTGAGCCAGTCACTTACCGCAAGCGGGGCGAGTACCAGCGTTGCCAGTCTTCTTGGAATCCTCGTGGCCACCACGGCCGAGGTCGTCAGTACCGGAGTGGATGACGAGAGTACGCTGCGATGATTAGCCATTTGCACTTGCACCGTCGACATTCGAGATGAACATACGCCAAGGACGCTCTCGGCACCGATCAGCTTAATAAGCTTGTCCTGCTTGGAGCCGACGGCGTTACCCTCAGCATCGGTCTTGAAGTTACCCAAGTCACCGACGTGGCGGTCCTCATCCTCGGGAGCACCGTGCTGCTTGCTGAAGGGGTTGACTAAACGACGGTCATCAGCCTGTGACACCCATGCTTGGGAAAAGGTAGCCGGGAAGCCAGGAACATACAGTGGGGGCCAGCAGAGGTGCAGCCGTTGGTGTTGTCACCGAACTGGTGGACATGGAAGGCCCGCTCAGCGTTGGCGTCGTGGCCGGTGATGTTCCAGGAGACGGTGGTAAGGGAGTTCGCGTCAGCCTGCTCGAAGGTGACGGTGCCGGAGATCTTGGAGTCTCCGCGGAGAACAGCAACTAGAGCCGTCAGTCATCATTCTCGTTTCGGAGCTAGCGGCGCCAAAGAAAAAGCGATCACGCGAAATCGGAAAGCTTCCAGAACATATGGGGTAAGGTGATCAATCTAAACGATCCATCTTCTAAGCTCCTACGCATGGCGTGAAGCTTGTCCACCACTCGATCGAGCCGACCAGTCTGGAACGGGTAAAACCATAACAGAGCAAGGTACCGTCACGCTGACACACATGAGCACCTTGGGGTTGAGATCTAGATCTAAATCTGCAAATCCCAAGCAGAAACTGGGATGCGGCCCAGTGATAGGCTGGGAGGCTCACGCAAGGCGAGGGGGTTTGCTTCACAAGGTGCTCAAATCTGCTCACTCAAGGTCCCCCCGGCCACGGTCGATCGTGGATCCTTCACACAGAGAGCCAATAACATAGCAAACAGTCCAGATAAACACAACAGGTACCTACCAGCCTTGACCATTTTGACGGTTGAGAATTAATTTAAATTCTTGGGGGAAAAAGTTAAGGTGAAGGGAAGATAGATTGATACGCGGATGAAGATGGAAGGGGGAGAAAGAAGAGGAGAAAAGAGAGGGAAGGGGGTGGGATGAGGGGTAACTAATATGACGGAATTCCATCATGACTGAACTAGCTTTAAGCAGTACTACTAACTACTAGTAGTAGCATTACTTAGTTATTCGATGAGCTTCCAGTCCTGTTCGTCCCTCATTGGTATTGATGTTACAGCATACAGTACGAAAAATCGGAGGCGTCCCCCCCCACTTGGCGGGGTCGTTTCGGGAATGACGTCCTGGTGGTGTATTTGCATGAAATGAAAATCCGAGTAACCTCCCTCTTCCGGCGATTCCTAAGCACCGCTGGTCCAGATCTCAAGCCAAGTTCCTTTCCACTTTCTACTCCGTAGTTGAAAACGAAATGCTCAAGAGCGGTGGCTCTACTTTGTTCCGGTTCCCCCAACCGAACGTGACCCCACCATGCAGGGAGATGTGCTACTAATGCAGACCAGCTGTCAAGTCCCCAGTAGAGCTACAATTCATGAAGTTTTCCATTTGCAAATGTTAAGTATGATGTTCGTTACAACCGATGATATAAGGTCCCTCAGCGTTAAACCAAAGTTGGTTCCATCTGTGCCTCGGCTAGACCCTATATCCATTTTCTTCAAGCACGCAATAGAGCTTCACAACCGCCCGCTTCCGGTCCGATAGCTCAAGATCGACCCCAAGTCCCCGTCTCCGTGCTGGTGGCTTGTAGCTTGTTGCTTTCCGGCCACCACTGGGGTTTCAATTACAACTCTGATCAAGCAGCCTATCAAGGCCCGCAGGATGCAGCCACATGTGGGAAGAAAAGTGAAAGATAACTCATTCATGATTCGTATCTACTAAACCAATTTTGTAGGTCGCCAATTTTTACATGAGGACATTGCATGGACATAACTTTAATTAATGCAAGTGACAGTCTCCCTTTAGGCCTGGACCTTCTGCTTGAGGATGTCCTTCAGGGTCACGGCGTCGGCAGCGAACTTGGAGATACCCTCACGCAGCTTCTCAACGGCCATGGCCTCCTCGTTGAAGTCGAAGCGGAACAGAGCCTCATCTTTGATGTAGGTCTTCTTGGGGATGTCAAGGCCGGCAGCGCTGGCGGCGTCGAGCTTCTTGGGGACAGCGGCGGTAGCGTTGTAGAGATCCTCAAGGAGGTTGGGCTACATGCGTCCGTTAGTACTGTGATTGTTCAAGTCATAGCAAATGGCGCTCAAAACTTACGGAGATGGTCAGGTAGTCACAGCCAGCAAGCTCGGTGATTTCACCAGTGTTACGGAAGGAGGCACCCATGACAATGGTGTTGTAGCCGTGCTTCTTGTAGTAGTTGAAGATGCTCTGGACAGACTTGACACCGGGGTCCTCCTCGGGAGCGAAGTCGCGCTTGTGGGCAGCCTTGTACCAGTCAAGGATACGGCCAACGAAGGGAGAGATGAGGTAAGCACCGGCCTCGGCGGCAGCGATGGCCTGGACGGTGGAGAACATGAGGGTCAGGTTGCAGTTGATGCCGTGGTCACGCTGGAGGACCTCAGCGGCCTTGATACCTTCCCAGGTGGAGGCAATCTTGATTAGGATACGGTCCTTGGAGATACCAATCTCCTCGTAGAGCTATGTCTGATGTTAGCCGTGCGCTCATTAGACCCCCAATACATCGGACCATTCCATACCTTGATGATGTGAAGGGCCTTGTCGATGGAGGCCTGGGTGTCGAAAGAGAAACGAGCATCAACCTCGGTGGAGACCTTTCCGGGGATGATTTCAAGGATCTTCTTGCCGAACTCAACCAGGAGACGGTCAAGGGTGGCGTCGACCTGCTCGTCGACGTTGCTGCCCTATTTATACGGTTAGACCGCTGCTCCAATACAGAAAATTAATCAGAGGGAAGCCCGAGGGTGACGTACGTGCTTCTTGCCGTACTGGACGGCGGAGTCGATGAGTTCGGCGTACTCGGGCTTCTTGGAAGCGGCCAGGATCAAAGAGGGGTTGGTGGTGGCATCCTGGGGCTTGTACTTGCCGATGGCTATATTTCCGTTAGATTCTGATCAGATGAATTATGGACAGACTGGGAAGGACATACTGGCAAAGTCACCTAGAAGAATCAATTGTTAACATGGATTGAATCCCTTGTGATGATGGCGGAATTCCAGTGACTGAGATACTTACCAGAGTCGCAGACGACAACCTGAGCGGGAGAGTTAGCAACAGAGTTTGGAAGGCAACACGGATGCCACCAGGGGTAAATGGATGCTTACAGTGCCGGTGGCCTTGAGCTGCTCAAGAGAAGAAGACATTGTGAAAGCTGGAATGGTATCACGAACAACGAGGGGGTATAATCAGGAGATGAGAAGATTGGAAAGCAAAGTATGAAGAAGGAAGAATCGATGGTCCAGGAAGAAATGCCGGAGTAGAAATAAAACGGGCGGACGTGCGATCGCAGAAAGACGCAGAAGCATCGGAGGGGAGCAATCCAGTGGTTTTCTTACTATGGGAAGTGGGATGGTGGGGCAACTATGACGCTATGCCTTGTCGGAACTTCATGGCACTCATGGCACCCATGGCCTCAGGCAGGGATGCCGTACGGTCACTGGTACCATACCTACGGAATACATGCATAAATGACATACAGCGAAACGCCTGCCTGATATCCCAAACCCCTTCTCCCTCTCCAAAACCCTCCATTGGAACTCCCATGAGAGACACGAAATCAGCTTTTGGTTTCTATACTGGCTTGTCCCATCAAACCTTCCGACCATCCACACGGCTATTGTAACCCCCCTCAACAAACCCCCTGAACAGAAGCCGGTTCAGTCGGCGCAGAGTGCTCCGGCAACGCATAGCCATCGGAGTATAGCGGTCCACCTGGTATCCCACCAAACAAAACCCCGCTCAATGGTCCGTACCTTTTCACCGAAGACACGACAGAGGAGTAGTTCCGTACCTAGTGACTCCATAATATCAACCGTCCTCCGTAAGGATTTGGTGAGCAGCTGACAAAGGTTCATTTCCCGTTGTGACGAAGCCCATTGAATTAACTAATCAGTCGGAACAAAGAACATCGTCGTATACATGCTACCCGGCATATTCTGTCTAGCAGTGAGCAATATCCTAAAACAATACCTCTCATAAAGAGAATCAAATGAAGATAGCTCCAACACTTGACCAGACCTTGGCAGAAAAGCACAAATCAGTAATCTATGAATTGATATCAATCGCGGTTAATACTGAACAAGGAAGGACAAAGCGCTACAGATTTATCCGGCGATCGTGGCATAAATTGACCCTTCCCCAGAACATGACAGAATTAGTACGCGGGAGTGCCTGTGATAGGAACGGAATCCACATTCTATGTTCTCAAATGGTCCTGCATTCAATGCTTCTCGGGCATTCCCCTCTCGTTCCTGTACCCGATCCAGAAATGTACTGCAGTAGAATTGCAAGGTACACAAAGCAATACCGTGATGTATGCCAGTTAGGAATAGTCTAGACAATCATAATAGCCACCAAACCTACAATACAAAAGACCAATGCAGAGCTTAGACACCTCGGCCACGACTCATCAACTAGCCACAGGTCTGTATGACACACGTATATGTAATATATGTTTAATGGGCCCCGCACCCAAAAAGGTGGCAGGGGTAAAAGTTATAGTTCTTCCAACACATCACCAGATCTATGTATAGCCTACTAAGCCTAGATCCGGCCAGTCTGGGGTAAGATGTGGTCCCCATTGTGGCAATCTCTGCTACCAAAGTGGAGTCTGCCGGAATCAGATGAATGTGTGTGTGTGTGTGTGGTTCTCGCTACTTTAGAGAGTAGACAGACAAAGTAAGAAACACAGAGAGGGTAGGCCTACTATCGAAACGAGATTGCAAAATCACGATAGACGATATGTCATCCGTAGGTGTTGGCTTTTCATTACCTACTCCTAGAGTGCAGAGAATACCAGAAGACCCAACCGTCCCACCGGAAACTTTTCGCTTTCCCTTTCGGGATAATTTAACCGCCGCCATCTATATTTTGTAAACCAGTATATAATCATTCGTCATTTCCCACGCCACAAATATATCAAGTCGCAAAGACGAGTAAAAGGAAAAAAGAAAAACGGAGTGTGGCTGAAAGACGCAACCAGGAAAGGAAGCAATAAGAAATGAAAATCGGCCAAATGGAAAAGAGGGAGGAACCGTAGAAGGAAGACACGCGATGTTCGACTACTCCAAAGTTGAGTTGATACGGCGACGTCGTTTGGGCGGGAGTGAAATCGAGCACTAGATATACTTCTAACGACGCTGGACACAACTCCATTCATACTATTATAAATTGGATGAGCATCTGTCAATATGCATTGGGCCGAACCGCACTTACCACTTTCCCCACTTCATCTCCAGTGTAGACCACATGTGGAAGCGTAAGAATACAGCTGATACCAGAGGAGATATTGGCACCATTGTCGCGACTGCTGTCAGTATGATGAAGTTGCCGAATTAATTCAAACTCGAAACGTCCATTGTGGACGATTTTACTCCAGATCTAGAGCATGGTCAACTTCCAGTTAAAAACGGACAGGTCACTGAACAAGGATTTTTGAGAGGGCACATACATTGACGACACCTCGTCGGTGACCAGTGAAGAGAAGCTCTCGCTCCTGCCACTCATTGTTTACGCCCTCGTAGAAGACACAGGACATCACTTGATCATCGTCTGACTCGCACACAGCCTGGTCTAGTAATAGTGCCCCATTGAGTGTGTAGAGGCTGATACGACTTCCCCGACAGACTGCGATTTCCCCTGTCACATCGTTGATTCTCGCACACTAGGATAGATCAGTAACTTGGGGCCAGGTAGTTTTTATATGCAAATTATAACCTACATCTACATGTCCTTTGGCTGGAAGCTCTCGAACGAAGGTTTGGCGGTTGAGATCCCA